TCACATCCCCATCCCCCCCACATCCCCATTCCCCCCCATCCCCCCATCCCCACCCATTCCCATCCCCCCCCCACATCCCCATCCTCCCCACACCCCCATCCCCCCCACCATCCCCATCCCCCCCACACCCCCATTCCCGCCCACATCCCCATCCCCCCCACCATCCCCATCACCCCCACCCCCATCCCCCCATCCCCCCCACACCCCCATCCCCCCCCACACCCCCATCTCCCCCAATCCCCATTCTCCCCCCCCATCCCCCCCCATCCCCCCCCATTCCCCCCCACACCCCCATCCCCCCATCCCCATTCTCCCCCATCCCCCCCATTCCCATCCCCCCCCACATCCCCATCCCCCCCACACCCCCATCCCCCCCACATCCCCATCCCCCCCATCCCCATCCCCCCCCATCCCCATCTCCCCCCACACCCCCATCCCCCCCATCCCCATTCTCCCCCATCCCCCCCCATTCCCATCCCCCCCCACATCCCCATCCCCCCCACACCCCCATCCCCCCCACATCCCCATCCCCCCCATCCCCATCCCCCCCCATCCCCATCTCCCCCCACACCCCCATCCCCCCCATCCCCATTCTCCCCCATCCCCCCCCATTCCCATCCCCCCCACCATCCCCATCCCTCCCACACCCCCATCCCCCCCCATCCCCCCATGCCCCCCCCATCCCCATCCCCATCCCCCCCCCCCCCCATCCCCCCCCGTTACCGTGGCTGTGGGGCAGGTACGTGAAGGTGAAGGCCTGGCTGCAGGCGCTGTCGGTCAGGCGCTGCAGCACCACCTCCACCTCCACGGGCCGCTGCAGCTCCAGCTCCCGGTACGGGGGGGTCCGGAGCACGATGGCGACCTGGCGGTGAACGTCGGCCTGCGAGAAGTCGGCGCGGGCCTCCCACGTGGCCGTGCGGAACACCACCGCGATGTCCTCTGCACGGGACGGAGACCCACAGCGCCCCATAGCATCCTATGGAGCCCCATAGCATCCTACAGCATCCTACAGCATCCTACAGCATCCTAGAGCATCCTAGAGACACCTACAGCATCCACCTCCCACGTGGCCGTGCGGAACACCACCGCGATGTCCTCTGCACGGGACGGAGACCCACAGCGCCCCATAGCATCCTATAGCATCCTATGGAGCCCCATAGCATCCTACAGCATCCTAGAGCATCCTACAGCATCCTAGAGAATCCTAGAGACACCTACAGCATCCACCTCCCACGTGGCCGTGCGGAACACCACCGCGATGTCCTCTGCACGGGACGGAGACCCACAGCGCCCCATAGCATCCTATAGCATCCTATGGAGCCCCATAGCATCCTACAGCATCCTAGAGCATCCTACAGCATCCTAGAGAATCCTAGAGACACCTACAGCATCCACCTCCCACGTGGCCGTGCGGAACACCACCGCGATGTCCTCTGCACGGGACGGAGACCCACAGCGCCCCATAGCATCCTATGGAGCCCCATAGCATCCTACAGCATCCTAGAGCATCCTACAGCATCCTAGAGCATCCTAGAGCATCCTAGAGACACCTACAGCATCCACCTCCCACGTGGCCGTGCGGAACACCACCGCGATGTCCTCTGCACGGGACGGAGACCCACAGCGCCCCATAGCATCCTATGGAGCCCCATAGCATCCTACAGCATCCTAGAGCATCCTACAGCATCCTAGAGCATCCTATGGAGCCCCATAGCATCCTACAGCATCCTAGAGCATCCTACAGCATCCTAGAGCATCCTATGGAGCCCCATAGCATCCTACAGCATCCTAGAGACACCTACAGCATCCACCTCCCACGTGGCCGTGCGGAACACCACCGCGATGTCCTCTGCACGGGACGGAGACCCACAGCGCCCCATAGCGCCCCATAGCATCCTATGGAGCCCCATAGCATCCTACAGCATCCTACAGCATCCTACAGCATCCACCTCCCACGTGGCCGTGCGGAACACCACCGCGATGTCCTCTGCACGGGACGGAGACCCACAGCGCCCCATAGCATCCTATAGCATCCTATGGAGCCCCATAGCATCCTACAGCATCCTATGGAGCCCCATAGCATCCTACAGCATCCTAGAGACACCTACAGCATCCACCTCCCACGTGGCCGTGCGGAACACCACCGCGATGTCCTCTGCACGGGACGGAGACCCACAGCGCCCCATAGCGCCCCATAGCATCCTACAGCATCCTAGAGCATCCTAGAGCATCCTAGAGACACCTACAGCATCCACCTCCCACGTGGCCGTGCGGAACACCACCGCGATGTCCTCTGCACGGGACGGAGACCCACAGCGCCCCATAGCACCCCATAGCGCCCCATAGCATCCTACAGCATCCTATGGAGCCCCATAGCATCCTACAGCATCCTAGAGACACCTAAGGCATCCACCTCCCACGTGGACATGCGGAACACCACCGCGATGTCCTCTGCACGGGACGGAGACCCACAGCGCCCCATAGCGCCCCATAGCATCCTATGGAGCCCCATAGCATCCTACAGCATCCTAGAGCATCCTACAGCATCCTAGAGCATCCTACAGCATCCCATAGCATCCTATACAGACCTACAGCATCCACCTCCCACGTGGCCGTGCGGAACACCACCGCGATGTCCTCTGCACGGGACGGAGACCCACAGCGCCCCATAGCGCCCCATAGCGCCCCATAGCATCCTAGAGCATCCTACAGCATCCTAGAGCATCCTAGAGACACCTACAGCATCCACCTCCCACGTGGCCATGCGGAACACCACCGCGATGTCCTCTGCACGGGACGGAGACCCACAGCGCCCCATAGCACCCCACAGCGCCCCATAGCGCCCTAGAGCATCCTAGAGACCTACAGCATCCACCTCCCACGTGGCCGTGCGGAACACCACCGCGATGTCCTCTGCACGGGACGGAGACCCACAGCGCCCCATAGCACCCCATAGCATCCTGTGGAGCCCCATAGCATCCTACAGCATCCTAGAGACACCTACAGCATCCTAGAGCATCCTATGGAGCCCCATAGCATCCTACAGCATCCTAGAGACACCGACAGCATCCACCTCCCACGTGGCCGTGCGGAACACCACCGCGATGTCCTCTGCACGGGACGGAGACCCACAGCGCCCCATAGCGCCCCATAGCATCCTATGGAGCCCCATAGCATCCTACAGCATCCTACAGCATCCTACAGCATCCACCTCCCACGTGGCCGTGCGGAACACCACCGCGATGTCCTCTGCACGGGACGGAGACCCACAGCGCCCCATAGCGCCCCACAGCGCCCCATAGCATCCTATAGCATCCTATGGAGCCCCATAGCATCCTACAGCATCCTAGAGACACCTACAGCATCCACCTCCCACGTGGCCGTGCGGAACACCACCGCGATGTCCTCTGCACGGGACGGAGACCCACTGCGCCCCATAGAGCCCCATAGCGCCCCATAGCATCCTACAGCATCCTATGGAGCCCCATAGCATCCTACAGCATCCTAGAGACACCTACAGCATCCACCTCCCACGTGGCCGTGCGGAACACCACCGCGATGTCCTCTGCACGGGACGGAGACCCACAGCGCCCCATAGCGCCCCATAGCATCCTACAGCATCCTATGGAGCCCCATAGCATCCTAGAGCATCCTACAGCATCCTAGAGCATCCTAGAGCATCCTACAGCATCCTAGAGCATCCTAGAGACACCTACAGCATCCACCTCCCACGTGGCCGTGCGGAACACCACCGCAATGTCCTCTGCACGGGACGGAGACCCACAGCACCCCATAGCGCCCCACAGCATCCTAGAGCATCCTAGAGACACCTAGAGCATCCTAGAGAGATCTACAGCATCCTACAGAGCCCTAGAGTATCCTAGAGACTTACAGCATCCTATAGAGCCCCATAGCATCCTATGGAGCCCTAGAGCATTCTAGAGACCTACAGCATCCTATGGAGCCCCATAGCATCCTATGGAGCCCTAGAGCATCCTATAGAGCCCAGTGCTCCCAATGCAATCCTAGGGTACCCAGATGCCATCCCAGTGTACCCAGATGTGATCCCAGTGTACCCAGATGCGATCCCAGTGTACCCAGATGTGATCCCAGTGTACCCAGATGCTATCCCAGTGTACCCAGATGTGATCCCAGTGTACCCAGATGCCATCCCAGTGTACCCAGATGTGATCCCAGTGTGCTCCCAGTGCAATCCCAGTGTACCCATATGTGATCCCAGTGTACCCAGATGTGATCCCAGTGTGCTCCCAGTGCAATCCCAGTGTACCCATATGTGATCCCAGTGTACCCAGATGTGATCCCAGTGTGTCCCAGTGTACCCAGATGCGATCCCAGTGTACCCAGATGCGATCCCAGTGTACCCAGATGCGATCCCAGTGTACCCAGATGCGATCCCAGTATACCCAGATGTGATCCCAGTGTACCCAGATGCCATCCCAGTGTACCCAGATGCCATCCCAGTGTACCCAGATGCGATCCCAGTACCCAGATGCTATCCCAGTGTACCCAGATGCCATCCCAGTGTACCCAGATGCCATCCCAGTGTACCCAGATGCGATCCCAGTGTACCCAGATGCGATCCCAGTGTACCCAGATGCGATCCCAGTGTACCCAGATGCGATCCCAGTACCCAGATGCTATCCCAGTGTACCCAGATGCGATCCCAGTGTACCCAGATGCGATCCCAGTACCCAGATGCTATCCCAGTGTACCCAGATGCCATCCCAGTGTACCCAGATGCCATCCCAGTGTGTCCCAGGGTACCCAGATGCAATCCCAGTGTACCCATATGTGATCCCAGTGTACCCATATGTGATCCCAGTGTACCCAGATGTGATCCCAGTGTGTCCCAGTGTACCCAGATGCGATCCCAGTGTACCCAGATGCGATCCCAGTGTACCCAGATGCGATCCCAGTGTACCCAGATGCGATCCCAGTATACCCAGATGTGATCCCAGTGTACCCAGATGCCATCCCAGTGTACCCAGATGCCATCCCAGTGTACCCAGATGCGATCCCAGTACCCAGATGCTATCCCAGTGTACCCAGATGCCATCCCAGTGTACCCAGATGCCATCCCAGTGTACCCAGATGCGATCCCAGTGTACCCAGATGCGATCCCAGTGTACCCAGATGCGATCCCAGTGTACCCAGATGCGATCCCAGTACCCAGATGCTATCCCAGTGTACCCAGATGCGATCCCAGTGTACCCAGATGCGATCCCAGTACCCAGATGCTATCCCAGTGTACCCAGATGCCATCCCAGTGTACCCAGATGCCATCCCAGTGTGTCCCAGGGTACCCAGATGCAATCCCAGTGTACCCATATGTGATCCCAGTGTACCCATATGTGATCCCAGTGTACCCAGATGCGATCCCAGTGTGTCCCAGTGTACCCAGATGCTATCTCAGTGTGTCCCAGTGTACCCAGATGCTATCCCAGTGTGTCCCAGTGTACCCAGATGCTATCCCAGTGTGTCCCAGTGTACCCAGATGCAATCCCAGTGTGTCCCAGTGTACCCAGATGCAATCCCAGTGTGTCCCAGTGTACCCAGGTGCGATCCCAGTGTCCCAGTGTACCCAGATGCCATCCCAGTGTGTCCCAGTGTACCCAGATGTGATCCCAGTGTACCCATATGTGATCCCAGTGTGTCCCAGTGTACCCAGATGTGATCCCAGTGTGTCCCAGTGTACCCAGATGTGATCCCAGTGTGTCCCGGTGCGCTCCTGGTGCAGTCCCAGTGTATCCCAGTGCAATCCCAGTGTATCCCAGTGCAATCCCAGTGCAATCCCAGTGCAATCCCAGTGTGATCCCGGTACCTTTCTGGACCTTGTCGCAGAGCAGGTAAAGCTCCTCGCCCCCCGTGCAGGGCCCGCTCTCCTTGTTCATGCGGCAGATCCGCAGCTCCGACGTGTTGGTGGATTCTATGGGATCACCATGGAATGGGATCGGGAACGTTCCCATCAGGATCATCCCTTCCCACCCAAACCCCATGGAATGGGATCGGGAACGTTCCCATCAGGATCATCCCTTCCCACCCAAACCCCATGGAATGGGATCGGGAACGTTCCCATCGGGATCATCCCTTCCCACCCAAACCCCATGGAATGGGATCGGGAACGTTCCCATCGGGATCATCCCTTCCCACCCAAACCCCATGGAATGGGATCGGGAACGTTCCCATCGGGATCATCCCGTCCCACCCAATCCCCATGGAATGGGATCGGGAACGTTCCCATCGGGATCATCCCTTCCCACCCAAACCCCATGGAATGGGATCGGGAACGTTCCCATCGGGATCATCCCTTCCCACCCAAACCCCATGGAATGGGATCGGGAACGTTCCCATCGGGATCATCCCTTCCCACCCAAACCTCATGGAATTAGGATCGGGAACGTTCCCATCGGGATCATCCCTTCCCACCCAAACCCCATGGAATGGGATCGGGAACATTCCCATCGGGATCATCCCTTCCCACCCAAACCCCATGGAATGGGATCGGGAACGTTCCCATCGGGATCATCCCTTCCCACCCAAACCCCATGGAATGGGATCGGGAACGTTCCCATCGGGATCATCCCTTCCCACCCAAACCCCATGGAATGGGATCGGGAACGTTCCCATCGGGATCATCCCTTCCCACCCAAACCCCATGGAATGGGATCGGGAACGTTCCCATCGGGATCATCCCTTCCCACCCAAACCCCATGGAATGGGATCAGAAACGTTCCCATCGGGATCATCCCTTCCCACCCAAACCCCATGGAATGGGATCGGGAACGTTCCCATCGGGATCATCCCTTCCCACCCAAACCCCATGGAATGGGATCGGGAACGTTCCCATCGGGATCATCCCTTCCCACCCAAACCCCATGGAATGGGATCAGAAACGTTCCCATCGGGATCATCCCTTCCCACCCAATCCCCATAGAATGGGACTGGGAACATTCCCATTGGGATCATCCCTTCCCACCCAATCCCCCATAGAATGGGACTGGGAACATTCCCATTGGGATCATCCCTTCCCACCCAAACCCCATGGAATGGGATCGGGATCATTCCCATCGGGATCATCCCTTCCCACCCAATGCCCCATAGAATGGGACTGGGAACATTCCCATTGGGATCATCCCTTCCCACCCAATCCCCATGGAATAGGATCATAAATGTTCCCATCAGGATCATCTCTTTCCGACCCACCCTCTCAGAATGGGACTGGGAACATTCCCATTGGGATCATCCCTTCCCACCCAATCCCCATAGAATGGGATCAGAAACGTTCCCATTGGGATTATCCCTTCCCACCCAATCCCCCATAGAATGGGATCGGGATCATTCCTTCCAACCCCATCCCCATAGAATGGGATCGGGATCATCCCTTCCCACCCAATCCCCATGGAATGGGATCAGAAACGTTCCCATTGGGATTATCCCTTCCCACCCAATCCCCCATAGAATGGGATCGGGCTCCTTCCCCTTGGGATCCCCCCCCACGGATCGGGATCGCTCCCCACGTACTCTTGTCGAAGATGGGCTCAGAGAGCACGGGCCCGAGGTGCCGCGTGTGTCCCGCCGCATCCCGGTAGGAAGCCTGGAAGCAGATCCGCACCACGTTCATGTCCACCTCCTGGTGGTTCCGGAGCGCTCCGGCTGCGGGGGGGACACCACAGGGGGGGTTGGTGGCCCCACGGGGATGGGCTCATCCCACCGGGACACGGACGGAGCCCCTGGAGCTACCTTTGAAGGGGTCGATTCCCAACTGGAGCTTCTTCTCGATGGCCGCCTCGATCTCCTTCTTCTTCACGCACTGGATGCCCAGGTTGCTGAAGCTGCAGAGATGGGATGGAGCGGCTCCTTCCATCCCAACCCCATCCCAACCCATGCATACCCATCCCAACCCATCCGTACCCATCCCAACCCATCCATACCCATCCCAACCCATCCTAGCTCCATTGTAACCCATCTGAACTCCATCCCAACCCATCCCAACCCATCCGTACCCATCCTAGCTCCATTGTAACCCATCTGAACTCCATCCCAACTCATCACAACCCATCCATACCCATCCCAACCGATCTGTACCCATCCCAACACATCCGTACCCATCCCAACTCCATCCCAACCCCATCCTAACCCATCCATACCCATCCCAACCCATCCTAACCCATCCCAACCCATCCGTACCCATCCCAACTCCATCCTAACCCATCCCAACTCCATCCTAACCCATCCCAACTCCATCCTAACCCATCCCAACCTATCCGTACCCATCCCAACCCCATCCTAACCCATCCCAAACCATCCGTACCCATCCCAACCCATCCATACCCATCCCAACCCATCCTAGCTCCATTGTAACCCATCTGAACTCCATCCCAACCCCATCCTAACCCATCCCAACCCCATCCTAACCCATCCATACCCATCCCAACCCATCCGTACCCATCCTAACTCCATCGTAACCCATCTGAACTCCATCCCAACCCATCCATACCCATCCTAACCCATCCATACCCATCCCAACACATCCGTACCCATCCCAACCCCATCCCAACCCATCCGTACCCATCCATACCCATCCCAACCCCATCCTAACCCATCCGTACCCATCCCAACCCCATCCTAACCCATCCCAACTCCATCCCAACCCATCCCTGCCCATCCCAACCCCATCCTAACCCATCCCAAACCATCCCTGCCCATCCCAACCCCATCCTAACCCATCCCAACTCCATCCCAACCCACCCATACCCATCCCAACTCCATCCCAACCCACCCATACCCATCCCAACTCCATCCTAACCCATCCCAACCCATCCGTACTCATCCCAACCCCATCCCAACCCATCCCACCTCCATCCCAACCCCGTCCCAACGCCATCCTAACCCATCCCAACCCCATCCCAAACCCATCCCAACCCATACCAGCCCCATCCCAACCCATCCCTACCCATCCCAATCCCATCCCAACCCCATCCTAACCCATACCAACTCCATCCTAACCCATCCCAACTCCACCCTAACCCATCCCATCCCCATCCTAAGCCATCCCAACCCCATCCCAACCCATCCCACCTCCATCCCAAGCCATCCCAACCCCATCCCAACCCATCCCAACTCCATCCCAACCCCATCCAAACCCATCCCAACCCTGTCCCAACTCATCCCAACCCCATCCATCCTAACCCCATCCCTACCCCGTCCCAGCCCCATCCCTACCCATCCCAACCCAACCCCATCCCAACCCATCCCAACTCCATCCCAACCCATCCCAACTCCATCCCAACCCATCCCAACCCTGTCCCAACCCATCCCAACCCCGTCCCAACCCATCCCAACTCCATCCCAACCCTGTCCCAACCCATCCCAACTGCATCCCAACCCATCCCAACTCCGTCCCAACCCATCCCAACTCCATCACAACCCATCCCAACTCCATCCCAACCCAACCCCATCCCAACCCCGTCCCAACCCATCCCAACTCCATCACAACCCATCCCAACTCCATCCCAACCCAACCCCATCCCAACCCATCCGTACTCATCCCAACCCCATCCCAACCCAACCCCATCTCAACCCATCCGTACTCATCCCAACCCCATCCTAACCCATCCCAACCCCATCCTAACCCATCTCAACCCATCCCTACCCATCCCAACCCCATCCCAACCCAACCCCGTCCCAACCCCATCCCAATCCATCTCAACCCCATCCCAACCTCATCCCAACCCTATCCCAATCCATCTCAACCCCATCCCAACCCCATCCCAATCCATCCCAACCTGCAATCCTACCCCTTTGCACTTCCTGGAGATGGCTCCTTCCATCCCAGCCCCATCCTAAACCCATCCCAACCTGGAATCCTGCCCCTTCCCACCTCCTGGAGGCAGCTCCTTCCATCCCAACCACATCCCAACTCAGAATCCTGCCCCTCCCACCCTCCCAGAGGCAGATCCTTCCATCCCAACCCATTGCAACCCCTTCCCAACCTGGAATCCGCCCCCTTCCCACTTTCCTGGAGGCAGCTCCTTCCATCCCAACCCATCCTAACCTGGAATCCTGCCCCTTCCCACCTCCCTGGAGGCAGCTCCTTCCATCCCAACCCATCCCAACCTGGAATCCTGCCCCCTTCCCACCTTCCTGGAGGCAGCTCCTTCCATCCCAACCCATCCCAACCTGGAATCCTGCCCCTTCCCACCTTCCTGGAGGCAGCTCCTTCCATCCCAACCCATCCCAACCTGGAATCCTGCCCCTTCCCACCTTCCTGGAGGCAGCTCCTTCCATCCCAACCCATCCCAACCTGGAATCCTGCCCCCTTCCCACCTTCCTGGAGGCAGCTCCTTCCATCCCAACCCATCCCAACCTGGAATCCTGCCCCCTTCCCACCTCCTGGAGCCAGCTCCTTCCATCCCAACCCATCCCAACCTGGAATCCTGCCCCCTTCCCACCTCCTGGAGGCAGCTCCTTCCATCCCAACCCATCCCAACCTGGAATCCTGCCCCCTTCCCACCTTCCTGGAGGCAGCTCCTTCCATCCCAACCCATCCCAACCTGGAATCCTGCCCCCTTCCCACCTTCCTGGAGGCAGCTCCTTCCATCCCAACCCATCCCAACCTGGAATCCTGCCCCCTTCCCACCTCCTGGAGGCAGCTCCTTCCATCCCAACCCATCCCAACCTGGAATCCTGCCCCCTTCCCACCTCCTGGAGGCAGCTCCTTCCATCCCAACCCATCCCAACCTGGAATCCTGCCCCTTCCCACCTTCCTGGAGGCAGCTCCTTCCATCCCAACCCATCCCAACCTGGAATCCTGCCCCCTTCCCACCTTCCTGGAGGCAGCTCCTTCCATCCCAACCCATCCCAACCTGGAATCCTGCCCCCTTCCCACCTCCTGGAGCCAGCTCCTTCCATCCCAACCCATCCCAACCTGGAATCCTGCCCCTTCCCACCTCCTGGAGGCAGCTCCTTCCATCCCAACCCATCCCAACCTGGAATCCTGCCCCCTTCCCACCTTCCTGGAGCCAGCTCCTTCCATCCCAACCCATCCCAACCTGGAATCCTGCCCCCTTCCCACCTCCTGGAGCCAGCTCCTTCCATCCCAACCCATCCCAACCTGGAATCCTGCCCCTTCCCACCTTCCTGGAGGCAGCTCCTTCCATCCCAACCCATCCCAACCTGGAATCCTGCCCCCTTCCCACCTTCCTGGAGCCAGCTCCTTCCATCCCAACCCATCCCAACCTGGAATCCTGCCCCCTTCCCACCTCCTGGAGCCAGCTCCTTCCATCCCAACCCATCCCAACCTGGAATCCTGCCCCCATCCCACCTTCCTGGAGGCAGCTCCTTCCATCCCAACCCATCCCAACCTGGAATCCTGCCCCCTTCCCACCTTCCTGGAGGCAGCTCCTTCCATCCCAACCCATCCCAACCTGGAATCCTGCCCCCTTCCCACCTCCTGGAGGCAGCTCCTTCCATCCCAACCCATCCCAACCTGGAATCCTGCCCCCTTCCCACCTCCTGGAGGCAGCTCCTTCCATCCCAACCCATCCCAACTCAGAATCCTGCCCCCTTCCCACCTTCCTGGAGGCAGCTCCTTCCATCCCAACCCATCCCAACCTGGAATCCTGCCCCTTCCCACCTTCCTGGAGGCAGCTCCTTCCATCCCAACCCATCCCAACCTGGAATCCTGCCCCTTCCCACCTCCTGGAGGCAGCTCCTTCCATCCCAACCCATCCCAACCTGGAATCCTGCCCCCTTCCCACCTTCCTGGAGGCAGCTCCTTCCATCCCAACCCATCCCAACCTGGAATCCTGCCCCTTCCCACCTCCTGGAGGCAGCTCCTTCCATCCCAACCCATCCCAACCTGGAATCCTGCCCCCTTCCCACCTTCCTGGAGGCAGCTCCTTCCATCCCAACCCATCCCAACCTGGAATCCTGCCCCCTTCCCACCTTCCTGGAGCCAGCTCCTTCCATCCCAACCCATCCCAACCTGGAATCCTGCCTCCTTCCCACCTCCTGGAGCCAGCTCCTTCCATCCCAGCCTCATCCCAACCCCATCCCATGCCGGTACCTGTGCCGGGGGTTGCTCTGGGGCCTCAGCACCACCTGGCAGAGGCCGTTGCTGCAGTCCTTGCCCACCAGCCCATGGGGGTGCACGCGGTGGGGCCAATCCTTCCACACCAGGCACGCGGTCACCGTCACCTCCGGGATCGCGCCGCAGTTCAGGAGCTGCAGGGACCAAACCCGGCCATGGGGCACCCGGGGGGTGGGGGCAGCACCCATGGGCCAGCAGCACCCAAGGGAGAGCCAGGGAAGGGGCTGGAAGCACCCGGATCCAACCCTCGGGGATGCCTTCCATAGGGCAGGCTGCTCCTTGGGCACTGCCAGGGATGGAGCATCCCAATGGCTCCATAGCATCCCACCAGCCTCGGGGGGAAGAGCTTCATCCCAAGATCCCATCCACCTCTCCCTGCTCCCATTATCTCATCCCATCCATCCCGTGGCCAAAGCCCCTCTTCAGGTCCCCTGGAGCCCCTTTAGGCAGTGGGTGTTCCCCCCCCTTGGACCTGCAGCTACCATTGGATGCAGTGGGGAGCTCCCATAGGACACAATGAGGAGTTCCTATAGGACACAATGGGAAGCTCCCATAGGACACAATGAGGAGTTCCCATAGGACACAATGAGGAGCTCCCATAGGACACAATGAGGAGTTCCTATAGGACACAATGGGGAGTTCCCATAGGACACAATGGGGAGCTCCCATAGGACACAATGGGGAGCTCCCATAGGACACAATGGGGAACTCCCACAGGACACAATGAGGAGCTCCCATAGGACACAATGAGGAGCTCCCATAAGACACAACGGGAAGCTCCCATAGGAAACAACGGAGAACCCCCACAGGACACAGTGGGGAACCCCCATAGGACACAGTGGGGAACCCCCATAGGACACAATTGGGAACTCCCATAGGACGCAATGGAGAGCTCCCATAGGACACAACGGAGAGCTCCCATAGGACACAATGGAGAACCCCCATAGGACACAATGGAGAGCTCCCATAGGACACAATGGAGAACCCCCATAGGACACAATGGGAAGTTCCCATAGGACACAGTGGGGAGCTCCCATAGGACACAACGGGGAGCTCCCATAGGACACAACGGAGAACCCCCATAGGACACAATGGAGAGCTCCCATAGGACACAATGAGGAGCTCCCATAGGACACAATAGGGAGCTCCCATAGGACACAATGAGGAGTTCCCATAGGACACAACAGAGAACCCCCATAGGACACAATGGGGAACCCCCATAGGATGCAATGGGGAGCTCCCATAGGACACAATGGGGAGCTCCCATAGGACACAATGGGGAGCTCCCATAGGACACAACGGAGAACCCCCATAGGACACAATTGGGAGCTCCCATAGGACACAACGGAGAACCCCCATAGGACACAATGGGGAGCTCCCATAGGACACAACGGAGAACCCCCATAGGACACAATTGGGAGCTCCCATAGGACACAACGGAGAACCCCCATAGGACACAATGGGGAGCTCCCATAGGACACAATGGGGAGCTCCCATAGGACACAATGGGGAGCTCCCATAGGACACAGTGGGGAGCTCCCATAGGACACAATGGGGAGCTCCCATAGGACACAATGGGGCTCTCCCATAGGACACAATGGGGCTCTCCCATAGGACACAATAGGGAGCTCCCATAGGACACAACGGAGAACCCCCATAGGACACAATTGGGAGCTCCCATAGGACACAATGGGGCGCTCCCATAGGACACAACGAGGAGCTCCCATAGGACACAGTGGGGAGCTCCCATAGGACACAATGGGGCGCTCCCATAGGACACAATAGGGAGCTCCCATAGGACACAATAGGGAGCTCCCATAGGACACAATGGGGCGCTCCCATAGGACACAAGGGGCTGTCGGTGGCCTTCAATGATCTTCTCCTCACCCCGCACCCCAAATCCTCCTCCTCCTCCTCCATCCATCCCGGAGCCGTTTCCCTGTGGACCCACCATGACGCGGGTCCGTGAGGTCCCAGCTGACTCCCCCACATCCCTCTCCCTCCCTGTGCTTCCCCCAAGCTCCCGACCCCCTTCCCGACCCCAATCCCGGCCGATCCCAGCTCACCTCGATGGCGGGCAGGGTCTTGCTGGCCTCGGTGCTGCTCTGGCCCAGGATGCTCCCGGCCGAGCGGCCCTCGCACTCGTAGCGGAAGCGCATCCCGCGCTGCTTGGGCTGCTCCGTGATCACCAACCGGGGCGGCTCCAGCAGCTCCTCCAGCTCCTCCTTCACATTCCCGGCGCCGGGAATCCACCGGCTCCGCTCCCCCCCCAGCGAGAGGCTGCTGAGGCTCTGGGTGAGCTGTGGGGCGCCGCCTGCCCCCGCGGTGCCCACCATGGGGCTGGAGCCGCGGGGCACCAGCTTGGCCGAGGGTCGGGGGGGGGGTTTGGGATGGAGCGGGGCTGGATCCGGCTGGAATCCGTCCTCCTTCATCACCTCCTCGATGATCGCTATGGGGCGAGCAGGACCCCTCTGAGCCGGGCCTGATCCCAAGGGATGGGTCCAGGCGGATCCTGCCCCTTTCCCACCTCCTTCAGGGGGGCTTTGAGCAAGCCCATCCCATTCCATTGACCTCCCACTGCATCCCATGGGGGGCTCCCCCCTGGGATCTACGGATGCAGGAGGTGGGATCCCATCACCTGAAGGTCCAGGATCCGGTTCCGGCTCCCAACACACACCGGGATGCCGACGGGAATCACTCACCTAAATCATCTGCAAAGGGAAGGCCATGGAGGGACCCGCACCCATGGGTGCCCCCTGAGGGGACCCCCAGCCTGCAGGAGCCGAGCTGGGGGCACCCTGATCCAGGGGGAACAATGGGATCAGGGGGAGCTTACCAGGGACAGGAGCAGCGTGCGCCATGGCCAGGCCGGGATCCTGCAGGGCAGCTCCTATGGGAACACGGGAAGGTTAATCCATGGATATATGGGAAGGTTAATCCATGGATATATGGGAAGGTTAATCCATGGATACATGGGAAGGTTAATCCATGGATATATGGGAAGGTTAATCCATGGGTATATGGGAAGGTTAATCCATGGGTATATGGGAAGGTTAATCCATGGGTATATGGGAAGGTTAATCCATGGATACATGGGAAGGTTAATCCATGGATACATGGGAAGGTTAATCCATGGATATATGGGAATGTTAATCCATGGATATATGGAAAGGTTAATCCATGGATATATGGGAATGTTAATCCATGGATATATGGAAAGGTTAATCCATGGATATATGGGAATGTTAATCCATGGATATATGGAAAGGTTAATCCATGGATACATGGGAAGGTTAATCCATGGATATATGGAAGGTTAATCCATGGATATATGGGAAGGTTAATCCATGGATACATGGGAATCTTAATCCATGGATACATGGGAAGGTTAATCCATGGATATATGGGAATGTTAATCCATGGATATACAGGAATGTTACCCAATAAAGACACGGGAACATCCCCCATGGATACACGGGAACATCCCCCATGGATACGTGCATATATCCCCCATGGATACACAGGAGCAACCCCCACGGATACACACATATATCCCTATGGATACACAGGTACATCCCCATGGATACACACATATATCCCCCATGGATACACATATACACCCCTATGGACACACACATACATCCCTATGGACACACATACAACCCTATGGACACACACATACACCCCTATGGACACACACATATATCCCTATGGACACACATACATCCCTATGGACACACACATACATCCCTATGGACACACACATACACCCCTATGGACACACACATATATCCCTATGGATACACACACATATCCCAATGGATACATACATATATCTCTATGTATACACACATACATCCCTATGGACACACGCATATATCCCTATGGACACACACGTATTCCCTATGGACAGACATGTACATCTCTATGGACACACACATATATCCCCGATGGACACACACATACACCCCTATGGACACACGTGTACATCGCTATGGATACACGCCTATATCCCTATGGACACACGCATATATCCCTAAGGACACACACGTATATCCCTATGGACACACACATACATTCCCTATGGACACACACATATATCCCCCATGCATACACGCATACATCCCTATGGATACACACATATCCCTACGGACACACACATATCCCTACGGACACACACATATCCCTATGGACACACACATACATCCCTACGGACACACACATATATCCCCTATGGACACACACATACATCCCTACGGACACACACATACATCCCTATGGACACACGCATACATCCCTATGGACACACGTGTATATCCCTACGGACACACACATGCATCCCTATGGACACAGGCATATATCCCTACGGACACACACACATATATCCCTATGGACACACACATACATCCCCCGTGGACACACACATATATCCCTATGGATACGCACATATCCCGTTCCCGTTCCCTTCCCCGTCCCCGTTCCCCCTTCCCCGTTCCGTTCCCCCCCGCCCCCTTTCCCCCCATTCCCGTTCCTCCCTCCCCGTCCCCGTTCCCTCCCCCAATCCCCGTTCCCCCCTCCCCGTCCCCGTTCCCCCCCGTTCCCGTTCCCCGTTCCCATCCCCGTTCCCGTTCCCCCCTCACCTCCCTCCTCCGCCATGTTCCCGGGCTCCGCTCCCCTCAGCTGGAAATCCCCTGGCGGGCAGCGCCGCCATTGGCTGCCGCCCGCCATGACGTCACCACGCCGCGCACCCCCTCCCAAGTGGGCGTGGCGCCGGTCGCTGCTCTCGCGAGATCTCGGCGGGACCGAAGTGGCGGGCGGGGCGGGGCGGGGCGGGGCGGGGAGGGGAAGCAGCGGCGCAACAAGATGGCGGCGCCGGGCACTGAGGCGGCGGCAGCGGCGGTGCCGGGCCCGGGGCAGGTACGGGCGGAAGCGCTGCGGGTCTGTGGGGAAACCGGGGCGGCCGCGGGGCTCTGAGCGCTCCCTGTGCCCCCCCTCCGCAGGTCAGCAGCAACGGCAGCGCCGGCGACGCGGCGGCGGCGGCGGAGACGCAGCGGCAGCAAGCGGCGCCCAACGCCTGGCAGGTCATCAAGGGGGTGCTCTTCAGGTGAGGCCCGGCACGGGCTGCCGAGCACACAGCGCGGGGCTGCCGGGCCCGTGTCCGGTACCGGGGCCATAGACCCAGTGCTGCCGTGTCCGGTACCGGGGCCATAGACCCGGTCCTGCAAACCGGTACCGGGGCCATAGACCCGGTGCTGCCGTGCCATAACCCGGTACCGGGGCCATAGACCCGGTGCTGCCGTGCCCATAACCCGGTACCGGGGCCATAGACCCGGTGCTGCCGTGCCCATAACCCGGTACCGGGGCCATAGACCCGGTGCTGCCGTGCCCATAACCCGGTACCGGGGCCATAGACCCGGTGCTGCCGTGCCCATAACCCGGTACCGGGGCCATAGACCCGGTGCTGCCGTGCCCATAACCCGGTACCGGGGCCATAGACCCGGTGCTGCCGTGCCATAACCCGGTACCGGGGCCATAGACCCGGTGCTGCCGTGCCCATAACCCGGTACCGGGGCCATAGACCCGGTGCTCCCGTGCCCATAACCCGGTACCGGGGCCATAGACCCGGTGCTGCCGTGCCCATAACCCGGTACCGGGGCCATAGACCCAGTGCTGCCGTGTCCGGTACCGGGGCCATAGACCCGGTCCTGCAAACCGGTACCGGGGCCATAGACCCGGTCCTGCAAACCGGTACCGGGGCCATAGACCCGGTGCTGCCGTGCCATAACCCGGTACCGGGGCCATAGACCCGGTGCTGCCGTGCCCATAACCCGGTACCGGGGCCATAGACCCGGTGCTCCCGTGCCCATAACCCGGTACCGGGGCCATAGACCCGGTGCTGCCGTGCCCATAACCCGGTACCGGGGCCATAGACCCGGTGCTGCTGTGCCCATAACCCGGTACCGGGGCCATAGACCCGGTGCTGCCATGCCCATAGCCCGGTACCAGGACCATAGACCTGGTGTTGCCGTGCCCGTGTCCAGTACCGGGGCCGTAGACCCGGTGCTGCTGTGCCCGTAACCTGGTACCGGGGCCATAGACCCGGTGCTGCCAAGCCCATAACCAGTACCGGGGCCATAGACCCAATCATGCCATGCCCATGTCCAGTACCGAGGCCATAGACCCAGTCCTGCCGAGCCCATAACCCGGTACCGGGGCCATAGACCCGGTGCTGCCATGCCCATAGCCCGGTACCAGGACCGTAGACCTGGTGTTGCCGTGCCCGTGTCCAGTACCGGGGCCATAGACCCGGTGCTGCCGTGCCCATAGCCCGGTACCAGGACCATAGACCCGGTGCTCCCGTGCCCGTGTCCAGTACCGGGGCCATAGACCCGGTGCTGCCGTGCCATAACCCGGTACCGGGCCATAGACCCGGTGCTGCCGTGCCCATAACCCGGTACCGGGGCCATAGACCCGGTGCTGCCGTGCCCGTGTCCAGTACCGGGGCCGTAGACCCGGTGCTGCCGTGCCCATAACCCAGTACCGGGGCCATAGACCCGGTGCTGCCGTGCCCATAACCCGGTACCGGGGCCATAGACCCGGTGCTGCCAAGCCCATAACCAGTACCGGGGCCATAGACCCAATCATGCCATGCCCATGTCCAGTACCGAGGCCATAGACCCAGTCCTGCCGAGCCCATAACCCGGTACCGGGGCCATAGACCCGGTGCTGCTGTGCCCGTATCCGGTACCGGGGCCATAGACCCGGTGCTGCCGAGCCCCTAACCCGGTACCAGGGCCATAGACCCGGTGCTGCCGTGCCCGTAGCCCGGTCCCGTGGCTGGTGCTGCCCATTCCGCCCCGTAGGCTTTCTCCTCACTCCTGAGCCCATTCCCGGTTTTCCTATGGAAGCCCCGGCGCTGCCTGCTGCTCCTTGGAGCTGCCAGCCCCCCCCAGAGCTCAGCCTGCCCTAATTCCATAGGGAAGAGCGTGCCGTTATCCCATCGCTCCGGAGTGGGATAGGGTGTGGGAATGGGGATGGCTCCCATTGGCGTCCCTGCTCCAGGGAATGAGCGCTCTCCATTAGGGAAGGGGTGTTCCTGGAGCGGGAATTGCGCTTGGATGTGCTGTTCCCAGCCTCCCGCTGGTCGGGAACGGGTCGGGATCAGCTCCCCCATGGTGCTGCCAACAGGAATTCCTTCCTAGATCCTCCCTGTACCCATGTCCTGCTTCCCACCCTCCGTCCTCGCCTTCCTTCTCATCCCTCCATCCCTCCCATTCCTCCAAAGGCAAGTTTGTCCCGTGCAAAGCCCCATCCGAGCCAGTGCTCTCAGTCCCCTCTGTTCTCCCGTCTCCCCCTGATCCATGCCTCTGGAAGCTCTGGGAACACCACGCTGCTCGCGCTTGGCTGCTGCCGGAGGCCCAAGGAGGGAACCAAAGCTGGAAGCGCCCATCCCTTGGGATGCGCTCCCTGGTGTCCCTATCCCCTCCTCTTTGGAGCCTCCTCTGGGATACCCCGGAGCTCCTCAGCGTTCCCAAGCACGGCTCCAGGCCTTTCCCTTCTCCTGCCGTTTGCTACGGGACCGGGACCAAGCCCTGCTGCCCTCCGGCTGCATCCCTGATCCGTGCCCCGTTCCCGGGAGCGCCGCAGCCCTTTGGAGCAGCCTCTCCCCCTCTTCCCATAGGATCTTCATCATCTGGGCCATCAGCAGCTGGTTCCGGAGGGGCCCCGCGCCGCAGGAGCCGAGCAGCACGGGGGGGACGCCGCGGGCACCCAGCAGGAACCTCTTCCCCAAGGACACCTTGATGGTAACGGCAGGGCCCTATCCTGAGCAGGGGGGCCGGGCTGTGGGGCTGTGGGGCTGTGGGGCCGTGGGGCCGTGGGGCAGGAGCGCTCCTTGCCCCTCTCCCTGCAGGACCTGTACGTGTACATCTCGGAGCACGAGCACTTCACCGACTTCAACGTGAGCTCGGCCCTCTTCTGGCAGCAGAGGGACCTGGTCTACGGGGACTGGACCAGCGGCGACAACGCCGACGGCTGCTACGAGCACGCCGGGGACGTGGCCATCTCACAGGTGGGTGCTGAGCACCCCACACCCTGCCCGTGGATGGAGGGGTGAGGAGGAAGGTCTGGATGGGAGGGTGGGGAGCCAGGAGATGGGGGACAAGGAGGATCCAGGGAGGAATTCCTGTTTGGGAGCTGCTCCCGACGCGTTCCCTCTCAGTGGGAGGCTGGGACCAGCACATCCCAGGCTTGAGGGGCTGGGTTGGGAGCCCCTGATCCCAGCCCCTTCCCACCTTCGGGGACCAGCACATCCCAGACTGAGGGGCTGGGTTGGGAGCCCCTGATCCCAGCCCCTTCCCACCTCCGGGGACCAGCACATCCCAGGCTTGAGGGGCTGGGTTGGGAAGGAGCTGGAGCCCTGATCCCAGCCCCTTCCCACCTCCGGGGACCAGCACATCCCAGGCTGAGGGGCTGGGTTGGGAGCCCCTGATCCCAGCCCCTTCCAACCTCCGGGGACCAGCACATCCCAGGCTTGAGGGGCTGGGTTGGGAAGGAGCTGGAGCCCCTGATCCCAGCCCCTTCCCACCTCTGGGGACCAGCACATCCCAGGCTGAGGGGCTGGGTTGGGAGCCCCTGATCCCAGCCCCTTCCCACCTCCGGGAACCAGCACATCCCAGGCTGAGGGGCTGGGTTGGGAGCCCCTGATCCCAGCCCCTTCCCACCTCCGGGGACCAGCACATCCCAGGCTTGAGGAGCTGGGTTGGGAAGGAGCTGGAGCCCCTGATCCCAGCCCCTTCCCACCTCCCCTTGCAGAGCGTGCAGCACAACGGCTCCATCTACGTCCACGTCTACTTCACCAAGAGCGGCTTCCACCCCGACCCCCGGCAGAAGAACCTCTACCGGCGCCTCGCCACCGTCCACACTTCCCGAAGTATGGAAAAGGGGGGAGCCCCATTCCTGTGCCCCACAGGGAGCCCCAGCAGCTGCGCTTTGGGTCAATGGAGGGGAAGCGTCCGCCTTGCTGTGGTCTCCAAGGCTGCCCCACGGAGGGTTCCACGCTTGGGATTCATCCTTCAGAAACCTATGGAGGGAAAACCTTAAATCCCTATGGATTCCATCTGTGGGATGGGGGGGGAAGGGAAGGAATTGTGGTATCTGGGGGGCTTTCTTCCACGCTGATGCCGTTACCCTGAAGGCTTGGCTCTTCGTGGGGTTCATGGTGCCCACATTCCAGCTTTTCCCTGGAGAGTTGAAGGAGTGTTTGTGCCTATGCTGGCTGCCCATAACCTCCCTAGAGCTCCTTCCTGGGGAGCTGGAAGCAATTCCCCATGGAAAGCAGGCCAAGGAATTCCCTTCCCTTCCAGTGATCAACAAGTACAAGCGGCGGCGCTTCCAGAAGACCAAGAACCTCCTGACCGGGGAGACAGAGGCAGACCCGGAGATGATCAAGGTACGAGCAGCTCCTTTGGGGGCTTTCTGCTCCTCAGGGTCCCTCCTGCTGCTTTATGGGGTCCTGGGGGGGTCCCTCCTGTTCCTTTGGGGGGGTCCCTTCTGCTGTTTGTGGGTTCCATCTGAAGCTTCCCCTTCCTGCTCCTGCAGAGAGGGATCATCCCCTTGTGGGATTCTTGGGATGGGAGGATGACTCTGGGCTGGATGAGCTTGAGGGACACCAACCGTGGTGGTGATGGTGGTGGTGATGATGGTGATGTTATGATGGTGATGGTGATGTTATGATAGTGGTTGTGTGATGATGGTGGTGGTGATGATGGTGGTGATGTTATGATGGTGATGGTGATACTGGTTGTGGGATGGTGGTGGTGGTGATGATGGTGGTGATGTTATGATGGTGATAGTGGTTGTGTGATGATGGTGGTGGTGGTGATGATGATGGTAGTGATGTTATGATGGTGATGGTGATAGTGGTTGTGTGATGATGGTGGTGATGTTATGATGGTGATGGTGATACTGGTTGTGGGATGGTGGTGGTGGTGGTGGTGATGATGGTGGTGATGGTGATGTCATGATGGTGATAGTGGTGGTATTACAATGGTGGTGATGATGATGGTAGTTGTTGTGGTGGTAATGATGGTGATGGTAATGATGGTGATGGTAATGATGGGGGTGGTAATGATGGTGATGTTATGGTGATGATGTTATGATGATGGTGGTGATACAATGATGGTGATCTCATGATGATGATAATGATGGTGGTGATGGTGCTGGTGATGATGATGGTGATAGTGACAATGATGACGTTACGATGGTGATAATGGTGATGATGATGGTGATACGATGATGGTTATGACGATAACGATGTTACGATGACGGTGGTGGTACAACGGTGATGATAGCGATGGTGAAGATGTTATGATGGTAACGGTGATGATGATGATGATGGTGAAACGATGATGGTGATGGCGATAACGATTTTAGGATGACGGTGGTGGTACAACAACGGTGATGATAGCGATGGTGGTGATGTTATGATGGTAACGGTGATGATGATGATGATGGTGGTGATATGATGATGGTGATGGTGATAACGATGTTAGGATGACGGTGGTGATACACCAGCGGTGATGATAGCGATGGTGGTGATGTTATGATGGTAATGGTGGTGATGATGATGATGATGGTGATACGATGATGGTGATGGTGATAACGATGTTAGGATGACGGTGGTGATACAACAATGGTGATGATAGCGATGGTGGTGATGTTATGATGGTAACAGTGATGATGATGATGATGGTGATACGATGATGGTGATGGTGATAACGATGTTAGGATGACGGTGGTGATACAACAACGGTGATGGTAGCAATGGTGGCGATGTTATGATGGTAATGGTGGTGGTGATGATGATGGTGATGGTGATAACGATGTTAGGATGACGGTGGTGATACAACAACGGTGATGATAGCGGTGGTGGTGATGTTATGATGGTAACAGTGATGATGATGATGATATGGTGATGGCGATAACGATGTTAGGATGACGGTGGTGATACAACAACGGTGATGATAGCGATGGTGGTGATGTTATGATGGTAACGGTGGTGATGATGATGATGATATGGTGATGGTGATAACGATGTTAGGATGACGGTGGTGATACAACAACGGTGATGGTAGCAATGGTGGCGATGTTATGATGGTAACGGTGGTGGTGATGATGGTGATGGTGATAACGATGTTAGGATGACGGTGGTGATACAACAAGGGTGATAGCGATGGTGGCAATGTTACGATGGTAACGGTGGTGATGATGATGATGGTGAAACAATGATGGTGATGGCGATAACGATGTTAGGATGACAGTGGTGATACAACAAGGGTGATAGCGATGGTGGCAATGTTACGATGGTAACGGTGGTGATGATGATGATGGTGAAACAATGATGGTGATGGCGATAACGATGTTACGATGACGGTGGTGATACAACGGTGATGATAGCGATGGTAGTGATGATGATGATGATGATGATGTTAGGATGACGGTGGTGATACGATACCGGTGATGATAGCGATGGTGGTGATGTTATGATGGTAACAGTGATGATGATGATGATGATGATGTTAGGATGACGGTGGTGATACGATACCAGTGATGATAGCGATGGTGGTGATGTTATGATGGTAACAGTGATTATGATGATGATGATGATGGTGATGGTGATAACGATGTTAGGATGACGGTGGTGATACAATACCGGTGATGATAGCGATGGTGGTGATGTTATGATGGTAACAGTGATGATGATGATGATGTTACGATGCTGCTCCTGCTGCTGCTGATTTGGGGCTTCTCCCCTCAGAGAGCCGAGGACTACGGTCCTGTGGAGGTGATCTCGCACTGGCACCCCAACCTCACCATCAACATGGTGGATGACCACACGCCCTGGGTGAAGGGCAGCGTGCCCCCTCCTCTGGACCAGTGTAAGGCTCTCCTCTTCGAGGGGGGCTTCCTGGGGCTGCCCCCTCTCCCGGGGGGACGCATTCCCATGGGAAAGGGGGGGCTGGTGTCATCCTTGCATCCCGCCCTGCTCCAGATGTGAAGTTCGACGCCATCAGTGGGGATTATTACCCCATCCTCTACTTCAATGACTACTGGAACCTGCAGAAGGATTATTTCCCCATCAACGAGTCCCTGCAGCGCCTGCCCTTCCGCCTCTCCTTCTGCCCCCTCTCCCTGTGGCGCTGGCAGCTCTACGCTGCCCAGAGCACCAAATCCCCTTGGAATTTCCTGGGAGAGGACCTCTACGAGCAGTCGGATGAGGAGCAGGACTCGGTGAAGGTGAGGAAGCACCCAGCAGCTCTCCTGCGGGGAGGACAAGGAGTGAGCCTTGTCCCGGCTCTGCTGGGGGTGGGATGGAGAGGTGGGGTGGAGGTGGAGAGGTGGGATGGAGCCGTGGGGTGGAGCTGGAGATGTGGGATGGAGCCGTGGGGTGGAGCTGGAGAGGTGGGGTGGAGCTGGGGAGGTGGGATGGAGCCGTGGGGTGGAGCTGGGGAGGTGGGATGGAGCCGTGGGGTGGAGGTGGAGAGGTGGGATGGAGCCGTGGGGTGGAGCTGGAGAGGTGGGATGGAGATGGAGCCATGGGATGGAGGTAGAGAGGTGGGGTAGAGGTGGAGAGGTGGGATGGAGATGGAGCTTTGGGATGGAGGTGGAGAGGTGGGGTAGAGGTGGAGAGGTGGGATGGAGATGGAGAGGTGGGATGGAGATGGAGCTTTGGGATGGAGGTGGAGCCATGGGATGAAGATGGAGAGGTGGGATAGAGGTGGAGAGGTGGGATGGAGATGAAGCCGTGGGATGGAGATGGAGAGGTGGGATGGAGATGGAGCCGTGGGATGGAGATGGAGAGGTGGGATGGAGGTGGAGCCGTGGGATGGAGGTGGAGAGGTGGGATGGAGGTGGAGCCTTGGGATGGAGGTGGAGAGGTGGGGTGGAGGTGGAGAGGCGGGATGGAGGTGGAGAGGCGGGATGGAGGTGGAGAGGTGGGATGGAGGTGGAGAGGTGGGATGGAGATGGAGCTTTGGGATGGAGGTGGAGCCTTGGAATGGAGGTGGAGAGGTGGGATGGAGGTGGAGAGGTGGGATGGAGATGAAGCCGTGGGATGGAGATGGAGAGGTGGGATGGAGGTGGAGCCGTGGGATGGAGGTGGAGAGGTGGGATGGAGGTGGAGCCTTGGGATGGAGGTGGAGAGGCGGGATGGAGGTGGAGAGGCGGGATGGAGGTGGAGAGGTGGGATGGAGGTGGAGAGGTGGGATGGAGATGGAGCTTTGGGATGGAGGTGGAGACTTGGGATGGGGATGGAGGGGCGGGATGGAGCCGTGGGATGGAGGTGGAGAGGTGGGATGGAGATGGAGCCTTGGGTTGGAGGTGGAGAGGTGGGATGAAGGTGGAGAGGTGGGATGGAGATGGAGCCATGGGATGGGGATGGAGAGGTTCCTGGTGCCTGTTGCAGGTGGCTCTGCTGGAGACCAACCCCTACCTGCTGGCGCTGACCATCATCGTCTCCATCGTGCACAGCATCTTCGAGTTCCTGGCCTTCAAGAATGGTGAGGGCTGAGAGAGGTGGAAAGGGGAAGGGTCCTGCGTGTCCCTCCAGCTGCCTATGGGGTCCTGCAAGGTCCCTATGGGGTCCTGCAGGTTCCCTCCTGTTCTTTTATGGGGTCCTGCAGGGTCCCTATGGGGTCCTGGGGGTCCTCCTGCTGCCTATGGGGTCCTGGCAGGTCCCTCCTGCTGCTTATGGGGTCCTGGAGGGTTCTGTGGGATCCTGAGGGTCCCTCCTGCTGTTTATGGGGTCCTGCAGGGTCCCTATGGGGTTTCTGGAGGATCTCTCCTGTTCCTTTGTGGGGTCCTGGGAGTCTTTCCTGCTGCCTATGTGGTCCTGCAAGATTCCTATGGGGTCCTGGAAGGTCCCTCCTGCTGTTTATGGGGTCCTGAAGTGTCCCTATGGGGTCCTGGGGGTCCCTCCTGCTCCTTATGGAGTCCTGCAGGGTGCCTATGGGGTCCTGGGCGTCACTCCTGCTCCTTATGGAGTCCTGCAGGGTCCCTATGGGGTCCTGGGTGTCCCTCCTGCTCCTTATGGAGTCCTGCAGGGTCCCTATGGGGTCCTGGGGGGTCTCTCCTGCTGTTTATGGGGTCCTGCAGGGTCTCTATGGGGTCCTGGAGGTTCACTCCTACTGCTTATGGGGTCCTGGAGTATCCTTCTGGGGTCCTGGGGGTCCTTCCTGCTGTTCCTGGGCTCCTGCATGGTCCCTATGGGTTCCTGGGGGTCCCTCCTGCTCTTTACGGGGTCCTGCATGGTCCCTATGGGTTCCTGGGGGTCCTTCCTGCTGTTTATGGGCTCCTGCATGGTTCCTATGGGGTTCCTGGGGGTCCCTCCTGCTCCTTATGGAGTCCTGCAGGGTCTCTATGGGGTCCTGGGGGTCTCTCCTGCTCCTTATGGAGTCCTGCAGGGTTCCTATGGGTTCCTGGGTGTCCTTCTTGCTCCTTATGGAGTCCTGGAGGGTCCCTATGGGGTCCTGGGGGTCCCTCCTGCTGTTTACGGGGTCCTGCAGGGTCTTTATGGGGTCCTGGGGGTCCCTCCTGCTGCCTATGGGGTCCTGGGTGTCCCTCCTGCTGTTCCTGGGCTCCTGCATGGTCCCTATGGGTTCCTGGGGGTCCCTCCTGCTCTTTACGGGGTCCTGCATGGTCCCTATGGGTTCCTGGGGGTCCTTCCTGCTGTTTATGGGTTCCTGCATGGTTCCTATGGGGTTCCTGGGGGTCCCTCCTGCTCCTTATGGAGTCCTGCAGGGTCTCTATGGGGTCCTGGGGGTCTCTCCTGCTCCTTATGGAGTCCTGCAGGGTTCCTATGGGTTCCTGGGTGTCCTTCTTGCTCCTTATGGAGTCCTGGAGGGTCCCTATGGGGTCCTGGGGGTCCCTCCTGCTGTTTACGGGGTCCTGCAGGGTCTTTATGGGGTCCTGGGGGTCCCTCCTGCTGCCTATGGGGTCCTGGGTGTCCCTCCTGCTGTTCCTGGGCTCCTGCATGGTCCCTATGGGTTCCTTGGGGTCCCTCCTGCTGTTTACGGGGTCCTGCATGGTCCCTATGGGTTCCTGGGGGTCCTTCCTGCTGTTTATGGGTTCCTGCATGGTTCCTATGGGGTTCCTGGGGGTCCCTCCTGCTCCTTATGGAGTCCTGCAGGGTCTCTATGGGGTCCTGGGGGTCTCTCCTGCTCCTTATGGAGTCCTGCAGGGTTCCTATGGGGTCCTGGGTGTCCTTCTTGCTCCTTATGGAGTCCTGGAGGGTCCCTATGGGGTCCTGGGGGTCCCTCCTGCTCTTTACGGGCTCCTGCAGGGTCCCTATGGGTTCCTGGGGGTCCTTCCTGCTGCCTATGGGATCCTGGGCATCCCTCCTGCTGTTCCTGGTCCCGTGGCGGGGGTTCCGTGGCGCTGACGGTGCCAGGCTTGTTTCCGAGGCTCCGTTTTCCCGCAGACATCCAGTTCTGGAACAGCCGGCAGTCTCTGGAGGGCCTCTCGGTGCGTTCCGTGTTCTTCGGCGTCTTCCAGTCCCTCGTGGTGCTGCTTTACATCCTGGACAACGAGACCAACTTCGTGGTGCAAGCGAGCGTCTTCATCGGGCTCCTCATCGACCTCTGGAAGATCACCAAGGTCATGGACGTGCGGGTGAGCTCCGGCTCCGGTGGCACCGGGATGCTTCCCAATGGGGATCCCGGCTCACGCTCTGCCCCCCCCCCCCCCCCCTTCCCGTTTTTCCCTTTGGAAGCTGGACCGGGAGAACAAAGTGGCCGGGCTGCTGCCGCGCCTCAGCGTCAAGGACAAGTCCACCTACGTGGAGTCCTCCACCAAGGTCTACGATGATGTGAGTTGGGGGGCGGAGGGGGGCTGGGATGTGGGGAGCAGGAGGGGTGGGAGCTGGGGAGGGTGCACAGTGGGGGTGCAGAGCGTTCCCATGGGATTGAGGTCCCCCCGCAGTGATGCTCCAGTGTATTCCCATGGAATTGAGGTCCCCCCACGCTGGGGGTGCAGAGCGTTCCCATGGGATTGAGGTCCCCCCACACTGGTGTTCCAGTGCATTCCCATGGGATTGAGGTCCCCCCACGCTGGGGGTGCAGAGCGTTGCCATGGGATTGAGGTCCCCCCACAGTGATGTTCCAGTGCATTCCCATGGGATCAGGGTCCACAGTGATGCTCCAGCCCATTCCCTTTGGATTAAACTCCACACTGGTGCTGCAGAGCATTCCCATGGGATTGAGGTCCCCCCGCAGTGGTGTTCCAGTGTATTCCCATGGGATTGAGGTCCCCCCACGCTGGGGGTGCAGAGCGTTCCCATGGGATTGAGGTCCCCCCACAGTGGTGTTCCAGTGTATTCCCATGGGATTGAGGTCCCCCCACGCTGGGGGTGCAGAGCGTTCCCATGGGATTGAGGTCCCCCCGCACTGGTGCTCCAGCCCATTCCCATGGGATTGAGGTCCCCCCACGCTGGGGGTGCAGAGCGTTGCCATGGGATTGAGGTCCCCCCACAGTGATGTTCCAGTGCATTCCCATGGGATCAGGGTCCACAGTGATGCTCCAGCCCATTCCCTTTGGATTAAACTCCACACTGGTGCTGCAGAGCATTCCCATGGGATTGAGGTCCCCCCGCAGTGGTGTTCCAGTGTATTCCCATGGGATTGAGGTCCCCCCACGCTGGGGGTGCAGAGCGTTCCCATGGGATTGAGGTCCCCCCACAGTGGTGTTCCAGTGTATTCCCATGGGATTGAGGTCCCCCCACGCTGGGGGTGCAGAGCGTTCCCATGGGATTGAGGTCCCCCCGCAGTGGTGTTCCAGTGTATTCCCATGGGATTGAGGTCCCCCCACGCTGGGGGTGCAGAGCGTTCCCATGGGATTGAGGTCCCCCCGCACTGGTGCTCCAGCCCATTCCCATGGGATTGAGGTCCCCCCACGCTGGGGGTGCAGAGCGTTCCCATGGGATTGAGGTCCCCCCACAGTGATGTTCCAGTGCATTCCCATGGGATCAGGGTCCACAGTGATGCTCCAGCCCATTCCCTTTGGATTAAACTCCACACTGGTGCTGCAGAGCATTCCCATGGGATTGAGGTCCCCCCATGGTGGGGGTGCAGAGCATTCCCATGGGATTGAGGTCCCCCCACGCTGGGGGTGCAGAGCATTCCCATGGGATTGAGGTCCCCCCCAGTGGTGTTCCAGTGTATTCCCATGGGATTGAGGTCCCCCCACACTGGGGGTGCAGAGCGTTCCCATGGGAGCAGGGTCCACAGTGATGCTCCAGCCCATTCCCATGGGATTGAGGTCCCCCCACACTGGGGGTGCAGAGCGTTCCCATGGGAGCAGGGTCCACAGTGATGCTCCAGCCCATTCCCATGGGATTGAGGTCCCCCCGCACTGGTGTTCCAGCCCATTCCCATGGGAGCAGGGTCCACATTGGAGGTGCAGAGCATTCCTATTGAATTAAGGTGCCCCCACACTGGTGTTCCAGTGCATTCCCATGGGAGCAGGGTCCACAGTGATGTTCCAGCCCGTTCCCATGGGATTAAAGTCCCTCCACATTGGTGCTGCAGAGCGTTCCCATGGGATTGAGATCCCCCCACACTGGTGTTCCAGTGCATTCCCATGGGATTGAGGTGTCCCCACACTGGTGTTCCAGTGCATTCCCATGGGATCAGGGTCCACAGTGATGCCCCAGCCCATTCCCATGGGATTGAGGTCCCCCCACACTGGGGGTGCAGAGCGTTCCCATGGGATTAAGCTCCACACTGGTGCTCCAGCCCATTCCCATGGGATTAAACAGCGCTGCAGCCCATTCCCATGGGATTAAACGGCGCTGCAGCCCATTCCCATGGGATTAAATGGCACTGCAGCCCATTCCCATGGGATTAAACGCCGCTGCAGCCCATTCCCATGGGATTAAAGGGCACTGCAGCCCATTCCCGTGGGATTAAACAGCCCTGCAGCCCATTCCCGTGGGATTAAGCAGCACTGCAGCCCATTCCCATAGGATTAAACAGCGCTGCAGCCCATTCCCATGGGATTAAACAGCGCTGCAGCCCATTCCCATGGGATTAAACAGCGCTGCAGCCCATTCCCATGGGATTAAACAGCGCTGCAGCCCATTCCCATAGAATTAAACAGCACTGCAGCCCATTCCCATGGGATTAAACGCCGCTGCAGCCCATTCCCATGGGATTAAACAGCACTGCAGCCCATTCCCATAGAATTAAGCAGCACTACAGCCCATTCTCATGGGATTAAACAGCGCTGCAGCCCATTCCCATGGGATTAAGCAGCACTGCAGCCCATTCCCATGGGATTAAACCGCCCTGCAGCCCATTCCCATGGGATTAAACAGCGCTGCAGCCCATTCACGTGGGATTAAACAGCCCTGCAGCCCATTCCCATGGGATTAAACAGCCCTGCAGCCCATTCCCATGGGATTAAACAGCCCTGCAACCCATTCCCATGGGATTAAGCTCTTCCCCCCGTTCCCAGATGGCATTCCGGTACCTCTCCTGGATCCTCTTCCCGCTGCTGGGCTGCTACGCCGTGTACAGCCTGCTCTACCTGGAGCACAAGGGCTGGTACTCCTGGGTGCTCAGCATGCTCTACGGCTTCCTGCTCACCTTCGGTGAGTGCCGCGCCGGCAGCGCCGCGCTGCAGCCCGGCCTCGGGAGCCGGGATGTTGGGATGGGAGCTCACCCCCAACCCCCCAATTCCCACAGGATTCATCACCATGACCCCCCAGCTCTTCATTAACTACAAGCTGAAGTCGGTGGCGCACCTGCCCTGGAGGATGCTCACCTACAAAGCGCTCAACACCTTCATCGACGACCTCTTCGCCTTCGTCATCAAGATGCCCATGATGTACAGGATAGGCTGCCTGCGGGATGGTATGGGATGGGGGGGGGGCCCTATGGCTGCCTATGGGGTCCTGGGGGGTACCTCCTGTTCCTTTATGGGGTCCTGGGGGGTCCCTTCTGGTGCTTATGGGGTCCTGGGGGGTCCCTTCTGGTGCTTATGGGGTCCTGGGGGGTCCCTTCTGGTGTTTATGGGGTCCTGGGGGGTCCCTTCTGGTGCTTATGGGGTCCTGGGGGGTCCCTTCTGGTGCTTATGGGGTCCTGGAGGGTCCCTTCTGGTGCTTATGGGGTCCTGGGGGGTCCCTTCTGGTGCTTATGTGGTCCTGGGGGATCCCTCCTCTTCCTTATGGGGCCCTGGGGGGTCCCTCCTCTTCCTTATGAGGTCCTGGAGGGTCCCTTCTGGTGCTTATGGGGTCCTGGGGGCTACCTCCTGTTCCTTATGGGGTCCTGGGGGGTCCCTTCTGGTGCTTATGGGGTCCTGGGGAGTACCTCCTGTTCCTTATGGGCTCCTGGGGGGATCCCTCCTGCTCCTTATGAGGTCCTGGAGGGTCCCTTCTGGTGCTTATGGGGTCCTGGGGGATCCCTCCTGCTCCTTATGAGATCCTGGAGGGTCCCTTCTGGTGCTTATGGGGTCCTGGGGGGTCCCTCTTGTTCCTTTCTGGGGTCCTAGGGGGTCTCTCCTGTTCCTTTAAGGGGTTCTGTGCGGGGGTCCCTCCTGTTCCTTATGGGGTCCTGGGGGGTCCCTCCTGTTCCTTTGTGGGGTCCTAGGGTGTTCCTCCTGTTCCTTTAAAGGGTTCTGGGTGGGGTCCCTCCTGCTGCTTATGGGGTCCTGGGGGGTCCCTCCTGTTCCTTATGGGGTCCTAGGGGGTCCTTCCTGTTCCTTATGGGGTCCTAGGGGGTCCTTCCTGTTCCTTTATGGGGTCCTAGGGGGTCCTTCCTATTCCTTTATGGGGTCCTGGGGGTTCCCTCCTGCTGCTTATGGGGTCCTATGGAGTCCCTCCTGTTCCTTTATGGGGTCCTAGGGGCATCCCTCCTGTTCCTTATGGGGTCCTGGGGGGGTCCCTCCTGTTCCTTATGGGGTCCTGGAGGGTCCCTTCTGGTGCTTATGGGGTCCTAGGGGGTTCCTCCTGTTCCTTTAAGGGGTTCTGAGGGGGTCCCTCCTGTTCCTTATGGGGTCCTAGGGGGTCCTTCCTGTTCCTTTATGGGGTCCTGGGGGGTCCCTCCTGTTCCTTTATGGGGTCCTAGGGGGTCCCTCCTGTTCCTTTATGGGGTCCTGGGGGGTCCCTCGTGTTCTTTTATGGGGTCCTAGGGGGTCCCTCCTGTTCCTTTATGGGGTCCTGGGGGGTCCCTCCTGTTCCTTTATGGGGTCCTAGGGGGGTCCCTCTTGTTCCTTATGGGGTCCTATGGGGTCCCTCCTGTTCCTTTATGGGGTCCTAGGGGGGTCCCTCCTGTTCCTTTATGGGGTCCTGGGGGGTCCCTCCTCTTCCTTTATGGGGTCCTAGGGGGGTCCCTCTTGTTCCTTATGGGGTCCTATGGGGTCCCTCCTGTTCCTTTATGGGGTCCTGGGGGGTCCCTCGTGTTCTTTTATGGGGTCCTAGGGGGTCCCTCCTGTTCCTTTATGGGGTCCTGGGGGGTCCCTCCTGTTCCTTTATGGGGTCCTAGGGGGGTCCCTCTTGTTCCTTATGGGGTCCTATGGGGTCCCTCCTGTTCCTTTATGGGGTCCTAGGGGGTCCCTCCTGTTCCTTTATGGGGTCCTGGGGGGTCCCTCCTGTTCCTTTATGGGGTCCTAGGGGGGTCCCTCTTGTTCCTTATGGGGTCCTATGGGGTCCCTCCTGTTCCTTTATGGGGTCCTGGGGGGTCCCTCGTGTTCTTTTATGGGGTCCTAGGGGGTCCCTCCTGTTCCTTTATGGGGTCCTGGGGGGTCCCTCCTGTTCCTTTATGGGGTCCTAGGGGGGTCCCTCTTGTTCCTTATGGGGTCCTATGGGGTCCCTCCTGTTCCTTTATGGGGTCCTAGGGGGTCCCTCCTGTTCCTTTATGGGGTCCTAGGGGGTCCCTCCTGTTCCTTTATGGGGTCCTGGGGGGTCCCTCGTGTTCTTTTATGGGGTCCTAGGGGGTCCCTCCTGTTCCTTTATGGGGTCCTGGGGGCTCCCTCCTGTTCCTTTATGGGGTCCTAGGGGCGTCCCTCCTGTTCCTTATGGGGTCCTGGAGGGTCCCTTCTGGTGCTTATGGGGTCCTAGGGGGTTCCTCCTGTTCCTTTAAGGGGTTCTGAGGGGGTCCCTCCTGTTCCTTATGGGGTCCTAGGGGGTCCTTCCTGTTCCTTTATGGGGTCCTAGGGGGTCCTTCCTGTTCCTTTATGGGGTCCTGGGGGTTCCCTCCTGCTGCTTATGGGGTCCTGGTTGTGTCCCTCCTGTTCCCTTATGGGGTCTCGGGGTGTTCCCTCCTGTTCCTTTATGGGGTCCTGGGGGGTCCCTCCTGTTCCTTTATGGGGTCCTAGGGGCGTCCCTCCTGTTCCTTATGGGGTCCTGGAGGGTCCCTTCTGGTGCTTATGGGGTCCTAGGGGGTTCCTCCTGTTCCTTTAAGGGGTTCTGAGGGGGTCCCTCCTGTTCCTTATGGGGTCCTGGGGGGTCCCTCCTGTTCCTTTATGGGGTCCTAGGGGCGTCCCTCCTGTTCCTTATGGGGTCCTGGGGGGTCCTTCCTGTTCCTTTATAGGGTCCTGGGGGGTCCCTCCTGTTCCTTATGGGGTCCTGGAGGGTCCCTTCTGGTGCTTATGGGGTCCTGGGGGGTCCCTCGTGTTCCCTTATGGGGTCCTAGGGGGTCCCTCCTGTTCCTTTAAGGGGTTCAGGGGGGGTCCCTCCTGTTCCTTATGGGTTCCAGGGGGTCCCCCGTGTCCCCCTTGACCCCTGTGTCCCCCCCCAGACGTGGTGTTCTTCATTTACCTGTACCAGCGCTGGATCTACCGCGTGGACCTGACCCGCGTCAACGAATTCGGGCTCAGTGGGGAGGACACGGTCACCCCCCCGCCCCCCCACCCCAGCACCCCCCCCACAGTGCTGGCCCCCAAACCTCCAGAGGACAAGAAGAAGGATTAACCCCCCCCCCCATGCTCGGTTTTTACCAGCCCCCTATGGGGCACCCCATGGAGGGGAAGGGGGGGGGGGGGGGAGCAGCCGGTTTGGGTTGGGGGGTCCCCACCCCCCCCTTTTGGGGAGTTGGGGGGTTCGGGGGGGGGGGGGTGTCCCCCCCCTCTCCGTGTGTCACGTTCCCTTGTGCTCCATCCCATTGTGCCGGTGTGTAGGACAGTGTCACCGAGGTGTCGCCGCGTCCATAAAGAGCTGATTGAACCCCAACAGCGGCCCCAACACTTTGGGGTACATTGGGGGGGGGACGTGGGGGTGACCTCGTGTGTCCCTGTCACGGCTATCGCGATAGGGAAGGGATGGGGGGGGGTTCTTGGCTCCCCCGTTGTGCTTCCAACGCGCCCGTGTTCCCCACGCGGCCAAAGCGCGCCACGGAGGAGGCGTTTCCCCGCGCTTTAGCCCGGCCAATCAGCGTGCTCGTGGTCGCTGAATGATAGCGCCGCAGCCAATCGCTGCGTCCCGTCCCTGCGTTATTCCCGCCCCCGTGGCGGGAAAAGCGAGCCGGGCAGGGGGGTGTATCCCAGCGCTTTAACCCAGCCAATCAGCGCGGGGCTTGGCAGCGCCGTAGCCAATCGCTGAGCCCCGTCCGTGCCTTAATCCCGCCCCGTGGCGGGAAAAGCGAGCCGGGCAGGGGGGTGTATCCCAGCGCTTTAACCCAGCCAATCAGCGCGGGGCTTGGCAGCGCCGTAGCCAATCGCTGAGCCCCGTCCGTGCCTTAATCCCGCCCCGTGGCGGGAAAAGCGAGCCGGGAAGGGGGGTGTATCCCAGCGCTTTAACCCAGCCAATCAGCGCGGGGCTTGGCAGCGCCGTAGCCAATCGCTGAGCCCCGTCCCTGCCTTAATCCCGCCCCCATGGCGGGAAAAGCGAGCCGGGCAGGGGGGTGTATCCCAGCGCTTTAACCCAGCCAATCAGCGCGGGGCTTGGCAGCGCCGCAGCCAATCGCTGCGTCCCGTCCCTGCCTTAATCCCGCCCCCATGGCGGGAAAAGCGAGCCGGGCAGGGGGGTGTATCCCAGCGCTTTAACCCAGCCAATCAGCGCAGGGCTTGGCAGCGCCGTAGCCAATCGCTGAGCCCCGTCCTCGCGGTGATGGCGGCGGCCGAGGACGCGGCTCCGGTGCGGAAGGAGGGAGCCGGAGAGCGCCCGGTACCGGGACACGGGGGGGGGGGGGGGAAGAGGCGGATCCAGGAGGGAAAACCGGGATTTGGGAGGGGGGGGGGGGGATCCCGGAATCGTTGGGATGGGGGGGAGAGGGGGAATGGGGTACAGGGGTAACGGGGAGAGTGGGATAATGGGGGTACCGGGAGAGCAATGGGGGGTAATGGGGGTACCGGGAGAGCAATGGGGGGTAATGGGGGTACCGGGAGAGCAATGGGGGGGTAATGGGGGTACCGGGAGAGCAATGGGGGGTAATGGGGGTACCGGGAGAGCAATGGGGGGGTAATGGGGGTACCGGGAGAGCAATGGGGGGTAATGGGGTACCGGGAGAGCAATGGGGGGTAATGGGGGTACCGGGAGAGCAATGGGGGGTAATGGGGGTACCGGGAGAGCAATAGGGGGTAATGGGGGTACCGGGAGAGCAATGGGGGGTAATGGGGGTACCGGGAGAGCAATGGGGGGTAATGGGGGTACCGGGAGAGCAATGGGGGGTAATGGGGGTACCGGGAGAGCAATGGGGGGGTAATGGGGGTACCGGGAGAGCAATGGGGGGTAATGGGGTACCGGGAGAGCAATGGGGGGTAATGGGGTACCGGGAGAGCAATGGGGGGGTAATGGGGGTACCGGGAGAGCAATGGGGGGTAATGGGGGTACCGGGAGAGCAATGGGGGGTAATGGGGGTACCGGGAGAGCAATGGGGGGTAATGGGGTGGCAGGAGAGCAGGGTAATGGGGTACTGAGATGGTGGGGATACCAGGATAGCAGGAATGCCAGGATAGAGGGAATACCGGGATAGTGTGATAATGTGGATAGCAGGATAGAGGGAATACCAGGAGAGCATGATAATGGGGATACCAGGATAGAGGGAATACCAGGATAGCGGGAATGCCAGGACAGTGTGATGATGGGGATACCAGGATAGAGGGAATAGCAGGAGAGCAAGAAAGAGGGATAATGGGATACCCAGATACTGGGGATGCCAGGGGAGCAGGAGAGAGGGATAATGGGGATAGCAGGATCATGGGAATACCAGGACAGTGTGATAATGGGGATAGCAGGATAGCGGGAATACCAGGATAGAGGGAATACCAGGACAGTGTGGTAATGGGGATAGCAGGATAGCGGGAATACCAGGATAGAGGGGATACCAGGACAGTGTGGTAATGGGGATAGCAGGATAGCGGGAATACCAGGATAGAGGGGATACCAGGACAGTGTGATGATGGGGATAGCAGGATAATGGGGATACCAGGACAGTGTGATGATGGGGATACCACGATAGCGGGAATACCAGGATAGCAGGAATGCCAGGACAGTGTGATGATGGGGATAGCAGGATAATGGGGATACCAGGACAGTGTGATGATGGGGATACCACGATAGCGGGAATACCAGGATAGCGGGAATGCCAGGACAGTGTGGTAATGGGGATAGCAGGATAATGGGGATACCAGGATAGAGGGAATACCAGGATAGCGGGAATGCCAGGACAGTGTGATGATGGGGATAGCAGGATAATGGGGATACCAGGATAATGGGGATACCAGGACAGTGTGATAATGGGGGTAGCAGGATAATGGGGATACCAGGATAGAGGGAATACCAGGATAGAGGGGATACCAGGACAGTGTGATGATGGGGATAGCAGGATAGCGGGAATACCAGGATAGCAGGAATGCCAGGACAGTGTGATGATGGGGATAGCAGGATAATGGGGATACCAGGATAGAGGGAATACCAGGATAGAGGGGATACCAGGACAGTGTGATGATGGGGATAGCAGGATAATGGGGATACCAGGACAGTGTGATGATGGGGATAGCAGGATAACGGGGATACCAGGAGCGCAAGAAAGAGGGATAATGGATACCCAGACACTGGGGATGCCAGGGGGGCAGGAGCGAGGGATCCTGGGGATATGAGGTTAATGGGACCCCAGGAGTGAGGGCTAACGGGGATCAAAGGACAATGGGGATCGTGGGGTGTCCGGAGCTCACCCCCCCCCCGTCAGGTCCCGTCGGTGCCACCGGATCCCAAGGAGCAGGAACCGGAGCCGGGGGGGGCAGCACCGGGGGGGGGGATCCCCGGGGCCGCCCCCCCCCAAGCCCGGCCCCGGAGCAGCAGCATCATGGTCAGCCCACGGCAGGTGAGCCCCAGAGCTGCACTCCCATTGGCTGGGAGCCCCCAGGCTGCCCTCCCATTGGCTGGGATCTACCTAGAGCTGCCCTCCCACTGGCTTGCAGCTGCTGCAGCTGCCCTCCCATTGACTGGGATCTGCACAGAGCTGCCCTCCCATTGGCTGGGATCTACACAGAGCTGCCCTCCCATTGGCTGGGAGCCCCCAGGCTGCCCTCCCATTGCCTGGGATCTGCAGACCTGCTCTCTCATTGGCTGGGATCTGCACAGGTGTGCCCTCCCATTGGCTGGGAGCCCCCAGGCTGCCCTCCCATTGGCTGAGGTCTACCCAGGCCTGCCCTCCCATTGGCTTGGACCTGCTGCAGCTGCCCTCCCATTGACTGGGATCTGTACAGAGCTGCCCTCTCATTGGCTGGGATCTACCTAGAGCTGCTCTCCCATTGGATGGGAGCCCCCAGGCTGCCCTCCCATTGCCTGGGATCTACCCAGACTTGCCCTCCCATTGGCTGGGATCTACCTAGAGCTGCCCTCCCATTGGCTGGGAGCCCCCAGGCTGCCCTCCCATTGGCTGGGATCTGCACAGAGCTGCCCTCCCATTGGCTTGGAGCTGCTGCAGCTGCCCTCCCATTGGCTGCGATCTACCTAGATCTGCCCTCCCATTGGCTGGGAGGTGCTGCAGGTGCCCTCTCATTGCCTGGGATCTACCCAGACCTGCCCTCCCACTGGCTGGTATCTACCTAGAGCTGCCCTCCCATTGGCTGGGAACCCCCAGGCTGCCCTCCCATTGGCTGGGGTCTACACAGAGCCACCCTCCCATTGGCTTGGATCTGCTGCAGCTGCCCTCCCATTGACTGGGATCTGCACAGAGCTGCCCTCCCATTGGCTGGGATCTACCTAGAGCTGCCCTCCCATTGGCTTGGATCTGCTGCAGCTGCCCTCCCATTGACTGGGATCTGCACAGAGCTGCCCTCCCATTGGCTGGGATCTACTTAGAGCTGCCCTCCCATTGGCTTGGAGCTGCTGCAGCTGCCCTCCCATTGGCTGAGATCTACCTAGAGCTGCCCTCCCATTGGCTTGGAGCTGCTGCAGCTGCCCTCCCATTGACTGGGATCTGCACAGAGCTGCCCTGCCATTGGCTGGGAGGTGCTGCAGGTGCCCTCTCATTGCCTGGGATCTACCCAGACCTGCCTTCCCATTGGCTAGGATCTACCTAGATCTGCCCTCCCATTGGCTGGGAGGTGCTGCAGGTGCCCTCTCATTTCCTGGGATGTACCCAGACCTGCCTTCCCATTGGCTGGTATCTACCTCGAGCTGCCCTCCCATTGGCTGGGATCTGCACAGAGCTGCCCTCCCATTGGCTGGATCCCCCAGACCTGCACTCCCATTGGCTGGGAGCCTCCAGAGTTCCCCCTCCCATTGGCTGAGATCTACCTAGAGCTGCCCTCCCACTGGCTGGGATATGCCCCCCCGCCTCCTACCTTCCTCTCCCATTGGCTCGCAGACTCTTCCTCCCATTGGCTGGGAGCTGACACCCACCCACGTGCCTCCTCCCATTGGCTGAAATCCCGCCCAGCCGCCTCCTCCCATTGGCTGGCGCCAGGATCCCTCCCCTAAGCCCATCGGGAGGGATCTGTCCCTGCTGCTGTGGGGCAGGGGGGGCACTTGGGGACCCCCAACCATTGCCCCCCCCCAGCGAGGGAACCCGGTGCTGCGCTTCATCCGCAACGTCCCATGGGAGTACGGGGACGTCGTCGCCGACTACGTCCTGGGGCAGAGCTCCTGCGCCCTCTTCCTCAGGTGACGGGGCTCAGGGGGTGTCAGTGGGTGGCAATGGGTGTGCAATGGGTGTCAGTGGGTGTCCCATGGGTGTCAATGGATGTCCAATGTTTGTTAATGGGTGTCAATGGGTGTCCCATGGGTGTCAATGGGTGTCCCATGGGTGTTAATGGCTGTCAATGGGTGTCCCATGGGTGTCAATGGATGTCCCATGGGTGTCAATGGGTGTCCCGTGGGTGTTAATAGGTGTCCCATGGGTGTCAGTGGGTGTCCCATGGGTGTCAATGGGTGTCAATGGGTGTCCCATGGGTGTTAATGGGTGTCCCGTGGGTGTTAATAGGTGTCCCATGGGTGTCAGTGGGTGTCCCATGGGTGTCAATGGGTGTCCCATGGGTGTCAGTGGGTGTCCCATGGGTGTCAATGGGTGTCCCATGGGTGTCAATGGATGTCCAATGTTTGTTAATGGGTGTTAATGGGTGTCCCATGGGTGTCAATGGGTGTCCCATGGGTGTCAGTGGATGTCCCATGGGTGTCAATGGGTGTCCCATGGGTGTCAATGGATGTCCAATGTTTGTTAATGGGTGTTAATGGGTGTCCCATGGGTGTCAATGGGTGTCCCGCGGGTGTTCATAGGTGTCAATGGGTGTCAGTGGGTGTCCCATGGGTGTCAATGGGTGTCCCATGGATGTCAGTGGGTGTCCCATGGGTGTCATTTGTGTCCCATGGGTGTCAATGGGTGTCCCATGGGTGTTAGTGGCTGTCAATAGGTGTCCCATGGGTGTCAGTGGGTGTCCCATGGGTGTCAATGGGTGTCCCATGGGTGTCAGTGGATGTCCCATGGGTGTCAGTGGGTGTCCCATTGGTGTCAGTGGGTGTCCCATGGGTGTCATTTGTGTCCCATGGGTGTCATTTGTGTCCCATGGGTGTCAATGGGTGTCCCATGGGTGTTAATGGCTGTCAATAGGTGTCCCATGGGTGTCAATGGGTGTCCCATGGGTGTCAGTGGGTGTCCAATGGGTGTTAATGGGTGTCCAGTGGGTGTCAGTGGGTGTCCCATGGGTGTCAGTGGGTGTCCAATGGGTGTCCCATGGGTGTCAATGCGTGTCCCATGGGTGTCCCATGGGTGTCAGTGGGTGTCCAATGGGTGTCCCGTGGGTGTAATTTGTGTCCCATGGGTGTTAATGGGTGTCAATGGGTGTCCCATGGGTGTCAGTGGGTGTCAATGGGTGTCCCATGGGTGTCAATGGGTGTCCCATAGGTGTCATTTGTGTCCCATGGGTGTCCCATGGGTGTCCCATGAGTGTTAATGGGTGTCCCATAGGTGTCAATGGGTGTCCTATGGGTGTCAATGGGTTTCCCATGGGTGTTAATGGGTGTCCCATGGGTGCCAGTAGGTGTCAGTGGGTGTCAATGGGTGTCCCATGGGTGTCAATGGGTGTCCTGTGGGTGTCAATGAGTATCAGTGGGTGTCAATGGGTGTCCTATGGGTGTCCCACAGGTGCCAGTGGGTGTCAATGGGTGTCCTATGGGTGTCCCACAGGTGCCAGTGAGTGTCAATGGGTGTTCCATGGGTGTCCCATGGGTGCCAGTGGGTGTCAATGCCTGTGCCAAGGATGTCTAATATTTGTCAATGGGTGTCCTATGGGTGTTAATGGGTATCCCGTGGGTGTCCAATGGGTGTCCCATGTGTGTCCCATAGGTGTCAACGGGTATCAGAGGGTCTCAATGGGTGTCAGTGGGTATCAGTGGGTGTCAATAGCTATCCTACGGGTGTCAGTGGGTGTCTGTGGGTGTCAGTGGGTGTCCTATGGGTGTCGCATGGGTGTCCCATGAGTGCCCATGAGTATCAGTGGGTGTCAGTGGGTGTCCCGTGGGTGCCAGTGGGTGTCCCCTGGGTGTCAGTGAGTATCCATTGGTATCAATGGGTGTTAATGTCTGCTGATGGTTGTCAATGGGTGTCAGTGGGTGCCAGTGGGTGTCAATGGGTATCAGTAGGTGCCACTGGGTGTCAGTGGGTATCAACGGGTGTAAATGGGTATCAATGGGTGCCAGTGGGTGTTGGTGGGTGTTCAGGGGGTATCAATGGGTGTAAATGGGTATCAATGGGTGTCAGTGGGTGTCAATGGGTATCATCGGGTACCAATGGGTGCCAATGGGTACCAATGGGTGTAAATGGGTATCAATGGGTGTCAGTGGGTGTCAATGGGTATCATCGGGTGCCAATGGGTACCAATGGGTGATGGTGGGTGTCAATGGGTGCCAGTGGGTACCAATGGGTGTAAATGGGTATCAATGGGTGTCAGTGGGTATCATCGGGTACCAATGGGTGCCAATGGGTACCAATGGGTGTAAATGGGTATCAATGGGTGTCAGTGGGTATCATCGGGTACCAATGGGTACCAATGGGTGTCGGTGGGTACCAATGGGTGCCAATGGGTACCAATGGGTGTCGGTGGGTACCAATGGGTACCAATGGGTGCCAATGGGTACCAATGGGTGTCTCTGGGTGCCCCAGCCTGCGCTACCACCACCTTCACCCCGATTACATCCATCAGCGCCTGCGGGAGCTGGGCAGGGGCTTCGTGCTGCGGGTGCTGCTGCTGCAGGTGGACGTGGTGAGAGCAGAGAGCCCCGTCCCGGGGTGCCAGCATCCCATGGGGCCTTATCCCATACATCCCTTATCCCATACATCCCATATCCCATACATCCCTTATCCCATACATCCCTTATCCCATACATCCCATATCCCATACATCCCTTATCCCATACATCCCTTATCCCATACATCCCTTATCCCATACATCCCATATCCCATACATCCCTTATCCCATACATCCCATATCCCATACATCCCTTATCCCATACATCCCATATCCCATACATCCCTTATCCCATACATCCCTTATCCCATACATCCCTTATCCCATACATCCCATATCCCATGGGCCCCTTATCCCATACATCCCATATCCCATGGGGCCTTATCCCATACATCCCATATCCCATGGGCCCCTTATCCCATACATCCCATATCCCATGGGGCCTTATCCCATACATCCCATATCCCATGGGGCCTTATCCCATACATCCCATATATCCTTTATCCCATACATCCCATATCCCATGGGGCCTTATCCCATACATCCCATATCCCATGGGCCCCTTATCCCATACATCCCTTATCCCATACATCCCATATCCCATGGGGCCTTATCCCATACATCCCATATCCCATGGGGCCTTATCCCATACATCCCATATATCCCTTATCCCATACATCCCATATCCCATGGGGCCTTATCCCATACATCCCATATCCCATGGGCCCCTTATCCCATACATCCCATATATCCCTTATCCCATACATCCCATATCCCATAGGCCCCTTATCCCATACGCCCCTTATCCCATACATCCCTTATCCCATGCATCCCTTATCCCATGGGCCCCTTATCCCATACATCCCTTATCCCATACATCCCTTATCCCATGCATCCCTTATCCCATGGGCCCCTTATCCCATACATCCCTTATCCCATACATCCCTTATCCCATGCATCCCTTATCCTATGGGCCCCTTATCCCATGGGCCCCTTATCCCATGGGCCCCTTATCCCATGGGCCCCTTATCCCATACACCCCTTATCCCATGGGCCCCTTATCCCATGGGCCCCTTATCCCATACATCCCTTATCCCATGGGCCCCTTATCCCATACATCCCATATCCCATGGGTCCCTTATCCCATACATCCCTTATCCCATGGGCCCCTTATCCCATACATCCCTTATCCCATACATCCCTTATCCCATACATCCCATATCCCATACATCCCTTATCCCATACATCCCTTATCCCATACATCCCATATCCCATACATCCCTTATCCCATGTACCCCTTATCCCATACATCCCATATCCCATATCCTATACATCCCTTATCCCATGTACCCCTTATCCCATACATCCCTTACCCCATACATCCCTTATCCCATGGGCCCCTTATCCCATGTACCCTTATCCCTGTATCTCTGTATCCCTTATCCCTCTATCCCATGTATCCCTCTATCCCTGTACCCCTTATCCCTCATCCCTCACCCCACATCTCCCCCTCTCCCTATGGCCACAGAAGGATCCCCAGCGAGCTCTGAAGGACCTGGCCAAGATTTGTGTCCTGAGCGACTGCACGCTCCTGCTGGCCTGGAGGTACGGGGGGGACCCCACTGTCACCTATGGGGGGACCCCACTGTCACCTATGGGGGGACCCCATTGTCACCTATGGGGGGTGACCCCACTGTCACCTATGGGGGGACCCCATTGTCACCTATGGACACCCCACTGTCACCTATGGGGGTGACCCCACTGTCACCTATGGGGGGGACCCCATTGTCACCTATGGACACCCCATTGTCACCTATGGACACCCCACTGTCACCTATGGGGGTGACCCCACTGTCACCTATGGGGGGGACCCCATTGTCACCTATGGACACCCCACTGTCACCTGTGAGGGTGACCCCATTGTCACCTCTGGGGGGGAACCCCACTGTCACCTATGGACACCCCATTGTCACCTATGGGGGGGACCCCATTGTTACCTATGGGGGGGACGCCATTGTCACCTCTGGGGGGGGACCTCACTGTCACCTATGGGGGTGACCCCATTGTCACCTCTGGGGGGGAACCCCACTGTCACCTATGGACAACCCATTGTCACCTATGGGGGGGGACACCATTGTTACCTATGGGGGGGACGCCATTGTCACCTCTGGGGGGGGACCTCACTGTCACCTATGGACACCCCATTGTCACCTATGGGGGGTGGACCCCATTGTCACCTATGGGGGGGACCCCACTGTCATCTATGGGCGGGGACCCCACTGTCACCTATGGACACCCCATTGTCACCTATGGGGGGGGACCCCATTGTCACCTATGGGCACCCCATTGTCACCTATGGGAGGGACCCCATTGTCACCTATGGACACCCCATTGTCACCCATGGACACCCCACTGTCACCCATGGGGGACCCCATTATCACCTATGGGGGGGGTACCCCATTGTCACCTATGGACACCCCATTGTCACCTATGGGTGGGGACCCCATTGTCACCCATGGACATCCCACTGTCACCCATGGACACCCCACTGTCACCCATGGCCACCCCATTGTCACCTATGGGGGAGACCCCATTGTCTCTATGGGGGGGGACCCCCTGTCAGCCATGGGGACCCCATGGGCCCCTCTGTGCCCCAGCCCCGAGGAGGCCGCCCGGTACCTGGAGACCTACAAAGCCTTCGAGCAGAAGCCCCCGGACCTGCTGCGGGAGCGCCTGGACCACGGCTTCCTGCCCCGGGTGAGCACGGAGCCCATCGGGGTGACAGTGACCCCATGGGGGTGCCATTGATCCCAATGGGGTGCCAGTGACCCCATGGGGGTGCCATTGATCCCAATGGGGTGACAGTGACCCCATCGGGGTGACATTGATCCCATCGGGGTGCCATTGATCCTATTGGGGTGCCATTGATCCCAATGGGGTGCCAGTGACCCCATCGGGGTGACAGTGACCCCATCGGGGTGACAGTGACCCCATCGGGGTGCCATTGATCCTATTGGGGTGTCAGTGACCCCATCGGGGTGTCATTGATCCCAGTGGGGTGCCATTGACCCCATCGGGGTGTCATTGATCCTATTGGGGTGCCATTGACCCCATCGGGGTGCCATTGATCCTATTGGGGTGCCATTGACCCCATCGGGGTGTCATTGATCCTATTGGGGTGCCATTGATCCTATTGGGGTGCCATTGACCCCATCGGGGTGACAGTGACCCCATCGGGGTGTCATTGATCCTATTGGGGTGCCATTGATCCCAATGGGATGACAGTGACCCCATCGGGGTGCCATTGATCCCATCGGGGTGCCATTGATCCCAATGGGGTGCCAGTGACCCCATCGGGGTGCCATTGATCCTATTGGGGTGCCATTGATCCCAATGGGGTGCCAGTGGCCCCATTGGGGTGCCAGTGACCCCATCGGGGTGTCATTGATCCCATCGGGGAGCCATTGATCCCATCGGGGGGCCATTGGCCCCATCGGGGTGTCATTGATCCTATTGGGGTGCCAGTGACCCCATCGGGGTGTCATTGATCCCATCGGGGAGCCATTGATCCCATCGGGGGGCCATTGACCGCATCGGGGTGCCATGGATCCTAATGGGGGTGCCATTGATCCCATTGGGGTGCCATTGATCCCAAGGGGGTGCCATTGACCCCAATGGGGTGCCTTTGATCCCATCGGGGTGCCAGTGACCCCATCGGGGTGTCGTTGATCCCATCAGGGAGCCATTGATCCCATCGGGGGGCCATTGACCCCATCAGGGTGCCAGTGACCCCATCGAGGTGCCATTGAGCCCATGGGGGTGTCATTGATCCCATCGGGGAGCCATTGATCCCATCGGGGTGCCAGTGACTGTATTGGGGTGCCAGTGACTGTATTGGGGTGCCAGTGACCCCAGCGGGGTGTCATTGATCCCATTGGGGAGCCATTGATTCCATCGAGGGGCCATTGACCCCATCGGCGTGCCATGGATCCTAATGGGGGTGCCATTGACCCCATGGGGGTGCCATTGATCCCAATGGGGTGCCATTGATCCCATCAGGGTGCCATTGACCCCATGGGGGTGCCATTGATCCCAATGGGGTGCCATTGATCCCATCGGGGTGCCATTGATCCCAAGGGGGTGCCATTGACCCCATGGGGGTGTCATTGATCCCATCGGGGTGCCATTGAGCCCATTGGGGTGCCATTGAACCCATCGGGGTAGCCATTGACCCCATCGGGGGTGCCATTGATCCCAATGGGGTGCCATTGAACCCATTGGGGGATCCATTGATCCCAAGGGGGTGCCATTGACCCCATCGGGGTGCCATTGATCCCAATGGGGGTGCCATTGACCCCATCGGGGGTGCCATTGATCCCAAGGGGGTGCCATTGAACCCATTGCGGGATCCATTGATCTCAATGGGGGGGTCCCATTGATCCTAATGGGGGATCCCATTGACCCCACTGATCCCAATGTGGGGTCCCATTGACCCCAATGGGGTGATCCCATTGATCCTAACGGAGGGGTCCCATTGACCCCAATGGGGGATCCCATTAAACCCACTGATCCCAATGCGGGGTCCCATTGATCCCAATGGAAGTCCCGTTGACCCCATTGATACCAATGGGGGATCCCATTGACCCCAATGGGGGTTCCATTGACCCCATTGATCCTAATGGGGGGGTCCCATTGACCCCAATGTGGGGGTCCTATTGACCCCAGTGTGGGGTTCCATTGATCCCAATGGGGGGTCCCATTGATCCCATTTACCCCAATGTGGGGGTCCCTTTGACCCCAATGGAGGCATCCCATTGCCCCACCAACACCAGTGTGGGGGTCTCATCACCCCCAATGGGGGGGTACCATTGCCCCCAGTGTGTGGGTCCCCTCACCCCATTGACCCAATGTGGGGGTCCCATTGACCTCAATGTGTGTGTCCCATCACCCCCAGTGTGGGGGTTCCATCACCCCATTGATCCCAGTGTGCGGGTCCCATTGACTCCAATGTGGGGGCCCCATCGATCCCATTGTGAGGGTCCCACTGCCCCACTGTGGGGGTCCCCTCACCCCCTATGTGTGGGTCCCTTTGCCCCCCAGATGAGCGACTGCTTGACCAGCATCAGGGCAGTGAACAGGACGGATGCCCTGAGCCTGCTCAGCACCTTTGGGGTGAGTCCTGATGACCCCCCCCCCCCCTCCATGGGGCACAGTGGGGCTGGGGGGCACAGCCCTGACCCCCCCCATGTGCCCCCTATGTCCCCCCCCAGTCACTTGCAGCAATGGCGGCCGCCACCAAGGAGGATTTATCCCTTTGTCCCGGTGTGGGGCCCCAAAAGGTGAGGTGGGGGCTATGGGGGGACACACACACACACACGGTGTCCCCCATTGTCCTCTCATGGGCCCCCCATGTCCCCCCCCATAGGCCAAGCGCCTCTTTGATGTCCTGCATGAGCCCTTCCTGCAGACCCCCAAGTGAGCGCCGACCCCGATCCATAATAAAATGGGCTTTATCCATGGAATGGCTTCAAAAGGGGGGCACAATGGGGGTTATGGGGGGCTATGGGGGTAATGGGGCAATGGGGGTAATAGGACAATGGGGGTAATGGGGCAATGGGTGCTATGGGGCAATGGGGGTAATGGGGGCTATGGGGCAATGGGGGCTATGGGGTAATGGGGGCTATGGGGCCATGGGGGTCACCCCACTGCCTCCTCCTTGTGCTTCCCCCTCGTGCCCACCGGGGGGCTCCCCTCGGGGGGCTCCTCCATCGCCTCCTTCTTCCTCTTCTTCTTCTTCTTCCTCCGGGTTTGGGGGGGCTCCGGGGGGGTCCCGAAGCTGCGGGTGATGGAGAGGAGCCCGCGGAGGGGGGGGGCGCAGCCCAAGGAGCCGCTTGGGGCCATGGGGGACAGGAGGAGGAGACCCCCGGCCCCCCCCGGCGCCCCCCGCGCCCCATAGACGCAATGGGCGCCGTCGTCCTCAGCAGCGCCCCCGTGCGGCAGGGGCTGGAGCTGCACGGAGTGGTCCAGGGGCACGGAGCATCCCTCCAGGCTGGGGGGGGAAATGGCGCTGCTGCACCCCCACATAGCGCTGACACCGCCACCATGCCCCCCAGTGCTCTGTGCCCCCCCAGTGCTCTCTGTGCCCCCCAATGTTCTGTGCCCCCCCCATGCCCCCCAATGCTCTCTGTGCCCCCCAATGCTGTGCCCCCCCCATGCCCCCCAATGCTCTTTGTGCCCCCCCAATGCTCTGTGCCCCCCCCATGCACCCCCAATGCTCTCTGTGCCCCCTCATGCCTCCAATGCTCTCTGTGCCCCCCATGCCCCCCAATGCTCTGTGCCCCCCCAATGCTCTGTGCCCCCCCATGCACCCCCAATGCTCTGTGCCCCCCAATACTCTGTGCCCCCCATGCCCTGTGTTCCCCCCCCATGCAACCCCAATGCTCTGTGCCCCCCCAATGCTCTGTCTGCCCCCCCCATGTCCCCCAATGCTCTCTGTGCCCCCCCATGCCCCCCAAAGCTCTCTGCCCCCCCATGCCCCCCAGTGCTCTCTGTGCCCCCCCATGCCCCCCAATGCTCTGTGCCCCCCCAATGCTCTGTCTGCCCCCCCCATGTCCCCCAATGCTCTCTGTGCCCCCCCATGCCCCCCAAAGCTCTCTGCCCCCCCATGCCCCCCAGTGCTCTCTGTGCCCCCCCATGCCCCCCAATGCTCTGTGCCCCCCCAATGCTCTGTCTGCCCCCCCCATGTCCACCAATGCTCTCTGTGCCCCCCCATGCCCCCCAAAGCTCTCTGCCCCCCCATGCCCCCCAATGCTCTCTGTGCCCCCCCAATGCTCTGTGCCCCCCATGTCCCCCCATGCCCCCAATGCTCCCTGTGCCCCCCAATGCTCTCTGTGCCCCCCCATGCCCCCCAATGCTCTGTGCCCCCCCCATGCAACCCCAATGCTCTGTGCCCCCCCAATGCTCTGTGCCCCCCCATGCCCCCCAATGCTCTGTGCCCCCCCCATGCAACCCCAATGCTCTGTGCCCCCCGTGCCCCCCAATGCTCTGTGCCCCCCCCAATGCTCTGTGCCCCCCCAATGCCCCCCAATGCTCTGTGCCCCCCCCATGCAACCCCAATGCTCTGTGCCCCCCGTGCCCCCCAATGCTCTGTGCCCCCCCCAATGCTCTGTGCCCCCCCAATGCCCCCCAATGCTCTCTGTGCCCCCCATGCCCTGTGTGTGCCCCCCCCCCGCTCTGACCTCTCCGGGTGGAAGTCGGGGGGGGCCCGGATCAGCCACAGCTCGGGGGCGGCCCCGGCCAAGGAGGGGCCCGGGGGGGGCGCGGCCTCGAACTCGGGGGGGCACTGGAACCGCACCGGGCCTGGGGGGGGACGGGGGGGGCACTTAGGGCATGGGCACTTGGGCCCCCCATATCCTCCTGTGACCCCCCCATGTCCCTATGGAGCCCCCCATATCCCCTGTACCCCCCCATATCCCCTGTGCCCCCCCACGTCCCTATGGACCCCCCATATCCCCTGTCCACCCCCACATCCCTATAGACCCCCCCCATATCCCCTGTACCCCCCCATATCCCCTGTGCCCCCAACATGTCCCCTGTCCCCCATGTCCCTATGGGCCCCCCATATCCCCTGTGCCCCCCCCATCCCCTGTACCCCCCCCACGTCCCTATGGCCCCCCCCATATCCCCTGTGCCCCCCCATGTCCCTATAAACCCCCTCATGTCCCTATGGGCCCCCCCATATCCCCTGTGCCCCCCCATGTCCCTATAAACCCCCTCATGTCCCTATGGGCCCCCCCATATCCCCTGTACCCCCCCATATCCCCTGTGCCCCCCCACACGTCCCTATGGGCCCCCCCATATCCCCTGTGCCCCCCCATGTCCCTATAAACCCCTCCATGTCCCTATGGACCCCCCCATATCCCCTGTACCCCCCACACGTCCCTATGGGCCCCCCCATATCCCCTGTGAACCCCCATATCCCCTGTACCCCCCCCATGTCCCTATGGGCCCCCCCATATCCCCTGTGCCCCCCCCATGTCCCTATGGACCCCCCCATATCCCCTGTGCCCCCCCCATGTCCCTATGGACCCCCCCATATCCCCTGTGCCCCCCCCATGTCCCTATAAACCCCTCCATGTCCCTATGGACCCCCCCATATCCCCTGTACCCCCCACACGTCCCTATGGGCCCCCCCATATCCCCTGTGAACCCCCATATCCCCTGTACCCCCCCCATGTCCCTATGGGCCCCCCCATATCCCCTGTACCCCCCCCATGTCCCTATGGACCCCCCCATATCCCCTGTGCCCCCCCCATGTCCCTATGGACCCCCCCATATCCCCTGTGCCCCCCCCACGTCCCTATGGGCCCCCCATATCCCCTGTGCCCCCCCATATCCCCTGTGCCCCCCCACGTCCCTATGGACCCCCCATATCCCCTGTCCACCCCCACATCCCTATAGACCCCCCCATATCCCCTGTGCCCCCCCCATGTCCCCTGTGCCCCCAACATGTCCCCTGTCCCCCATGTCCCTATGGGCCCCCCCATATCCCCTGTACCCCCCCATATCCCCTGTACCCCCCCACACGTCCCTATGGACCCCCCTATATCCCCTGTGCCCCCCCCATGTCCCCTGTCCCCCATGTCCCTATGGGCCCCCCCCATATCGCCTGTACCCCCACACGTCCCTATGACCCCCCCCATATCCCCTGTGCCCCCCCATGTCCCTATGGACCCCCCCCATATCCCCTGTGCCCCCCCCGTGCCCCATTTCCCCCCCCCCACTCACCCTCCATGTGCTCCTCTGGCCCCGCGTAGCCCCGCCCCTTTCCGGACTCTCCCACCCAGCGCTGCCCCGCCCCTTTCCCCCCCCTCCCCTCGCGGCCCTTGGTACGCTCCGCGGGTTGGGGGGCGTGGCCACCTCTTAGCCACACCCACCGTGGGCGTGGCCTGGGCGGTGGCGGCCGCGTTTAAAGGCACAGGCACCCCCCCGCCCGCTCCGCTCCGCTCCCGCACCCTGGGGCGCAGGGCGCGGCCCCCCCCGCTCCGCGCCTCCCCCGCGTGATCCAGAGCTCTGGAATTGGGCGGAGGGGACGCGGGCGCGGCTCCGGCACCGACCCCCAGGTGGGAAACGGGGAGCGGGGGAGCCTTTGGGTGCCCCTGGTCCGGTTTGGGTGAGGGGGGGGTGCGGGGGAGCCTTTGGGTGCCCCTGGTCCGGTTTGGGTGCGGGGGGGGGGGTGCGGGGGAGCCTTTGGGTGCCCCTGGTCCGGTTCGGGTGCGGGGGGGGGGGGTGCGGGGGAGCCTTTGGGTGCCCCTGGTCCGGTTTGGGTGAGGGGGGGGTGCGGGGGAGCCTTTGGGTGCCCCTGGTCCGGTTTGGGTGAGGGGGGGGTGCGGGGGAGCCTTTGGGTGCCCCTGGTCCGGTTTGGGTGAGGGGGGGGTGCGGGAGCAACTTTGGGTGCCTGGGTCCGGTTCTGGTGCGGGAGAGCCTTTGGGTGCCCGGGTTCGGGTGCGGGGGTGGGACGGGAGCAACTTTGGGTGCCCTTGGTCCGGTTCGGGTGCGGAGACC